GTGCAGGATCCACTCATCCATTGGTGCTGATCTGACCTTTAAAGGCCCAAATAACTTTTTGCATTCTAAATTGGCATTTTCAAAAGCCATGGATTCAATAAGTACTCATCTAGCTACTGGATCTGTTACTCCTATTTGTACATCTTTAGTTAGTCTTTGTAAAAAGTCACTAAATGGGTACTCTTGGTCATTGTGTGAGCTTACTATATGGTTCAATTCTTCTTTCTAGTTCTTGAATCTTACCCCAAGCATTCAAGGCTATTGTAAAACATATGGACAAGATGTGTTCATTGTACATAGCTTGACTATCTGGATCAGCATAATGATCCTCACAGAGAATTTGATCTTGGGACGCCTCAAATCCTCTAGATCTACCTTGATATTCCAGGGCTTTAGCCTCCTCTCTCCAATAGCACTTTCACTGTAACTACAGCCCATCTTCTAGTACAACTAAGAATAATTGATGCTAATCATGTAGAGTACCCCTATTTCTTGAAGCCTTTACCAACTCCCTTACATATGGTGAATGCATGCCATAGAATACTGCTGTTTGTTTGATATCTTTTATTTCATACATAGAGGTTCCCATTTACATTCTGTATATCCTTTCAGGTATTGAGTATTTGCTGACTTTTCATAGGTAGCAGCAGGATAAGTAGCTAAAACTTTTGGTGAGTTATCTCTGACTCTGAGAGGTACCAGCAATGCTAAATAAATCTTTACTATTGTCCTTTGCCTGTACCTCCTCTCCTTGATTATCAGTTCTGACAAGTTCCTCAATCAATTCAAATCTTTTTGTCACTGTCTTTTTAAAGTCTGAATCTCTTGGACCTGTGAATATTCCTAATGACTTCATCAAATCAATTAATTTCTGATTCTCACTCTGCACATGTGATTCCAACGTTTTAAATTTTTTCATTAATGATATCTTCCCATACTTACAGATTATTTGGATGGCATGTAGGTTGCCTTCCTGGAGGGATGTTCTATCTGCTAGCTTATTATAACATTTTAACACATTATGATTGTCAATTTCAATAGCATGAATACTTTCAGATAACTTCTCATTACCTGTCTGTAAAGACTGTATTATTTCTGGAAACATAGCCTGCTACTACACAGAGGAAACCAACAGGTGAGTGGCCAGCCACCCGGTGGGACACTCCACTCTCTAGGCCCTCCATACCAGGGCAAAACCCTTGGCCCCTCTCCCACCTCCCTTGGCTTCTTAGCCAGCCAGCAGGAGAGATTCCTGAATGCAGGTAGGCTGCTCCATTACCCTCACTCCCTCCAACCATCAGACCCTGCATGGTACAAATTCCACCCCAACCCCAAACAATCTTATCCCCTGCAACCTCAGTGGAACTCTGAAACACAGCCTGCTACTACACAAAAGAGGACGAAGAGGTGAGTGACAGTCACCCAGCAGGACACCCAACTCTCTAGGCCCTCCATACTGAGGCAAAAGCCTGCATCCATCCCCACCTACCTTGGCTTCTATACCAGCTAGCAGGTGAGTGTCCTGAAGGTAGGCTGCTCCAAAACCCCTGAGACACAAACAGTAACAATTAAGAGAAGACCAAGAACAGTTCCCAAGACAGAGACAGTTACTACAAGGATTGGACCAAGATGCAAAGACACTTGCCAGCATCAATTGAAGGAAGAGATGGGTAGGTGCCAATGCAAGAATTCATCCAACAACCTAAAAAACAACAGGGTAACACCAGAACCCAACCTGAAGAAACAAAAGAAAACGATTTTAAATGTAACTTTATGAAGATGATGGAGACCTTTAAAGGGAAAATGAAAAACTCCGTTAAAGAAATGGAGGAAACGATGAACAAAAAATTGGAAGAAATTAATAAATCTCAAAGAAACCCAAGAAAACCAAGAAAAAAAAAAACAAACAGGTGAAGCCAACACTTCAAGACTTGAAGTCTTAAATAGAGGCAATAAAAAAAAAAAACACAAACCAAGGGAATTCTGGATATGCAAAACCTAGATAAATGAATGGGAACTACAGAGGCAAGAATAACCAACAGAATATAAGAGATCAAAGACAGAATCTCAGGGGTTGAAGATACATAGAGGAAATCCAACAAATTCCTAACATAAAACATCCAGGAAATCTGGGACACCATGAAAAGACCAAACCTAAGAATAATAGGAATGGAAGAAGGAGAAGAACTCCAGCTCAAAGGCACAGAAAATATATTAAACAAAATCATAGAAGAAAGCTTTCCCAACCTAAAGAACGATATTTCTAGGAAGGTACAAGAAGCTTACAGAACACCAAATTGACTGGACCAAAAAAGAAGTCTCTTCGCCATATAATAATCAAATTGCAAAACATACAGAATAAAGAAAGAATACTAAAAACTGCAAAGGAAAAAGGTTAAGTAACATATAAAGGCAGAACTATCAGAATTACACCCAACTTCTCAATGGAAATCATGAAAGCCAGAAGGTCCTGGATAGATGTACTGCAAAAACTAAGAGACCATGGATGCAAGCCCAGACTACTATACCCAGCCAAGCTTTCAATCACCATCGATGGAGGAAACAAGATATTCCATGACAAAACCAGATTTAAATAATACCTATCCACAAATCCAGCCCTACAGAAAGTACTAGGAGGAAAACTTTAACCCAAGGAAGCTAACTGCACCCATAAAAACACAGGGAACAGATAACATCACACCATCAAACCCCAAAAAAGGGGAAACACAATCACTACCACCAAAAAATAAAAGGAATTAACAACCACTGATCAATAATTAAGAGATCATTAATATCTCTTAATGTCAATGGTATTAATTCACCTATAAAAAGACACAGGCTAAGAGAATGGATATGAAAGCAAGATCCAGCCTTCCGCTGTATACAAGTAACACACCTCAACCTCAAAGGCAGACATTACCTCACCAATACCACATCAGACAGAGGACTGATCTCCAAAATATATAAAGAACTCAAGAAAATAGACATCAAAATTCCAAATAATCCAATTTTAAAAGTGAGATACAGACAGAACTAAGCAGAAAATTCTCAACAGAAGAATCTGAAATTACCAAAAGACACTTAAGGAAATGTTCAGCATCCTTAGCCATTATGGAAATGCAGATTGAAATGACTCTGAGATACCATCTTACACCATTCAGAATGGCTAAGATCAAAAACATAAATGTTAGCTTATGCTGGAAAGAATGTGGAGTAAGATTGGGAATGAAAATTTATACAACCACTTTGGTAATCATGGTGGTTTCTCAGAAAATTGGGACCCAACCTACCTCAGAACCCAGTAATACCACTCTTGGGCATATACCCAAAAGATGTTCAATCATACTACAAGGACACTTGTTCATCTATGTTAATAGAAGCATTATCTGTAATAGCCAGAACCTGGAAACAACCTAGATGCCCCTCAACCAGAGAATGGATAAAGAACATGTAACACATTTACACATTAGAGTACTACTCAATGGGGAAAAAAAAAACATCTTGAAATTTGCATGCAAATGAATGGAACTAGAAAAAACATCTCGAGTGAGTTAACCCAAACCCAGAAAGATGAACATGATATGTATTCACTCGTAAGTGGATACTAGCTGTAAAGCAAAGGATATTGAGCCTATAGTTCATGATCCTAGAAAAGCTAAGTAACAAGGTGAACCCTAAGAAAAACATACACAGATCCTCCTGGAAATGTGAAACAGACAAGATCTCCTGACAAGATTAGGAGCATGGGGGTGGGGGGAAGTAGGGAGGACAGAAGAGGAAAATGAGGGGAGAAGGGGGGAGAACTTGAGGGAATGGGATAGTTGAGATGGCGGAAAGACAGAGATGGGAGCAAGGAAAGATATTTTGATTGAGTGAGCCATTACGGGGTTAGCAAGACACCTGGCACTAGAGAAGTTCCCAGAAATCCACAAAGATGACCCCAGCTAAGACCCTAAGCAATAGAGGAGAGGAGGCCTGACCTGGCCTTGCCCTGAAGTTGAACTGATGGATATCTTAAATATTACCATAGAACTTTCATTCAGCAACTGATTGAAAGGCAGAGACCCAAACCAGAATAATCTAAATGTCCTTCTCATTCCAAATTAATGAGACCTGGCTGGAGTATACCTTAAGCCATGCTGCAGGTCCCATCGCCATGACAGTATACCAAGACTTCCACCCACCTGGCAGTGAGCCCTGCTCTGGGTAGTGTGGAGGTACAATCGGGTGTGAGTGGCTTCCTCCAGGCCCTGCCTGCAGTGCAAGCAGACCCGGTTGTCACTCTTATCTGTGCAGATTTTGACCAATGCTCCTGTCTGCAGCTGTGGCCTGCACACTGTCCAGCCAGTGCCAGGTGACCCCCGACAGCTACGGCCTGGATGTCAAAAGTGTACATCTTTATAGTCTGTTTTTCTGCAAAGGGTATTGTCAGTCTCCGTGCTTCTAAAAACCCATGTCCCTTAATCAAGAGACAGCTGAACATCTCGAATTTCTTAGCATGCAGGCCGTGCATTACATCCCCCTGCTAACGGCAGTATTTTCAGGATGTGGTCGTCTCCAGAAGCCAGGGGTCTCCTGAAGTATGCCCTGGGTGATGAGGATTTGGTGGTGATAACCCTGGCTGTCACTCCATTCCTTTGACTCTCCAGAGATAATGTGGAGATCTGGTTTTGTAATTCAAATTCCCTTGCTTAACTTTGAAAGTAGGGCTTTGGCAGTACCAGAGCTGCATATGCTCACTGAGCACCATTGGCGGCTTGGCTGTGACAACTGAGTACCAGAGCAAGTGTGCTTACAGAGTTGCTACCCAACCGCAACCGCACCTGCTAACCTTTAAGCAATCCCAAACCATAGAACTTCTCAGTTGGGATTCCGTGGCCACTGCACGCGCTGTGGCTGTTAGCTTCTCCAGAAGCGATCTGTCACATTGTTGGGCGTCGGGTCGGGGATGGGACACGGAAGACGGAGGGAAGGGACCTCTGGGTCCAGCAGCCTGGGCCATGTCGAAAGTGGTTAGCTTATCTTACAAGAAAAGCCAGAAACTCTTACAGTCCTTGCGCGACCAGCAACGGCACTCCCTGGGCACTGGGTTTGAGAGTGCCAATATCCTCCTCTCACCCAAGTATCGCCTCAAAGACAAGGATCTGAGAAAGATCCACAAGGCTGCGCGTGTCGGGGATGCAGCCAGAGTACAGCAGCTCCTGCTTGGGAAATGCTGTGTGAATGACAGAGACAAGAAGAAGAGGTATCAGGGCCCAAGAGGGGAGGGGCTGTGGAGGAGGCGGGGTTTGTGCACAAGAAAGCCTCCAAACATGACATGAAATATTTACTATTTATGTCTCAAATGGAAAATATATCTTCATTTTATAGGTAACTTTTTCAAGTCAAGGAAAACACTAAACTCTTAATTATTCATACTTATTTATGCTGTGGAAAGCAGCCAGGGCCTTGCTGTAGTAGCAAAAACACTCTACTCCAAGTCCTAGATTTATAACTAAAATTGAGTGAAGTACAGGCTTGGGTATCACAATGCTATATAGATATAGAAAAGTATTTAGTGACCCTGGTAAGACAAGGGATTTTTATGTACTCTGCCGTATTGACATATCTTTAGGAAATAATGGAGTGTACACGCAATTTGTTTATCATCATTATTTAAAATGGCATTTTAAAAATAACCAACAGAACACATTTTACACATAAACCTCAGCGCATCCATAGGATAGAGAAAGATGGAGCTTCCACAACGGCATAGAAATGGGTCGAGGTTGGCACAGGTGGAAGAAGTACTTTGGGTACAAAGTGAGAAGAATATCAATTTGAAAGGCCACATATACACACAAATATCTGCTCCCGTACCAGCCAAAGCAATGACAAGTTGTTCTAAAAATTATTTTCTTTTTTTTTTAAATTTATTTATTTATTAAAGATTTCTGTCTCTTCCCCACCGCCGCCTCCCCTTTCCCTCCCCCTCCCCCAATCACGTCCCCCTCCCTCGTCAGCCCAAAAAGCAATCAGGGTTCTCTGCCCTGTGGGAAGTCCAAGGACCACCCACCTCTATCCAGGTCTAGTAAGGTGAGCATCCACGAAACTGCCTAGGCTCCCACGAAACCAATAGGTCCAGTAGAATCAAAAACCCGTTGCCATTGTTCTTGAGGTCTCAGTAGTCCTCCTTGTCTGCTATGTTCAGCGAGACCGGTTTTGACACAGGCTTTTTCAGACCCAGGCCAGCTGTCCTTGGTGAGTTCCTGATAGAACATCCCCATTGTCTCAGTGTATGGGTGCACCCCTCGCGGTCCTGAGTTCCTTGCTTGTGCTCTCTCTCCTTCTGCTCCTGATTTGGACCTTGAGATTTCAGTCTGGTGCTCCAATGTGGGTCTCTGTCTGTCTCCTTTCATCGCCTGATGAAGTTTAATATTCAGGAGGATGCCTATATGATTTTCTTTGGGTTCTCCTTCTTATTTAGCTTCTCTAAGAACCCGAATTATAGGTTTTAATTTCTTAGTTACAGTTCCAGTTCTCAGAGGAATCAGTTCTCTTTCTGTTGGCACATAGCTTGGTTTCATAAGCTAGAAGATACTCCTGTATTAATTCTGTATGTTGGCCTTTGCAGAGTCTTATCCTGGGGACTAGTGTGCAGTGTGCAGTTGGTTTTGAAGGAAGTTACCTGCGAACTTGCTCTTTCCCACTTACCTTGAATTCTAGAACGAACGTGCATTAAAGTTGTAGTAAACACTTACCATTACAACAACCCCTGGGAAGAATGGAAATAAGAACCCTTCTCAGGCAAGATTTCTCACTTCTTTTAGAGAGTGTGTCACATGCTTGAATTGGTGTTTCTGCTAACAATGTCTTTCAACCCAACGGGAATATATTTGTGGGCTTTTTGGAGACCACATTGCATGATATGCATGTTTGCTTTATATAGAGATTTATTGCATATTTGCAAACAACTCTAGGTTAATAACTCCACTTTAGTTGCATCCTTATGAAAACAAAGAATAACAACCAAAACTGATCACCACCACTGCAACAGATCATAAAGATACCCCTAAAAAATATTTATTCCCTCCTTTCATGCATTTGCTCACTAAAAGCATCCTAAATGCCAAATAGGCAGAGGACATATTTCATCTCTCAGCACACTTTCGTCCTGAGAGCCTTTGAGTTTCCCTGTTGAGGCTAACAAAGTGGAATATGTAAAAGGGAAGTAACAGAACTCAGCTTAGCCTTTTCTCCTTCCTTCAAATTAAAACGTTCTTTCATTGATCATTTGAAATTTGAGATCAACATTAAATACTCATTAAATACTGGCCTAAGTCCTTGGGAATATATGACTTTCATACACTGTATTTATCTGAATATTCAAAGGAGGAGCTAGACCTCCTTTTTGAGGAGTTCTCTTGGCTTAAAGTTTCTGGAAAAATAGTTTTTGTTGTTATTCAGAACTCTTTGCCCATGGTATTTTTAAGAACTAAAATTTATGTAATTGCCAAGCAGGCGGCTAGATCTTCCATGGACCTAAGAAAAATACAATATTTCATCAAGTGTGGGGCACCATGGATTCCTTGATGACCTTTATTCTGTGTATTAAGAAACTGTCCAAATGCTACCAGTCAAAAGCTACAACGTGTCATGAGTTCTAACTTGAACTCCAGCTCCAGAGATGTTCACTGTGAGGAAAGGGCACTCTAGACACAGTGGTCAGTCCTTAAAGCATACAGATGGGAGTGACTGATTCCTGGAAACACTGTCCTTCTAAGTCGGCACAGTAGTGACTGCAACACCTGACAAACTTTGGGCTTTGCTTGTGCTGGAAACTTTTTAAACCACTTCATATGGTTCTCATCCAAACATACGAGGGTCTTAGGAAACAGCCACTGCTTCAGTGCCCATTTTACTGATAGAAACATTGAGACCTGGAAAGGAAAAAACATAGTGAGTAACAGAGCTTAAGGCAAGAATCAAACCCAAGTGGAGCTAACTATAAAAGACACCTTTCTCCTTTCAAGTTACCCACTCTGGGCTGGGACAGAGCTCCATGGGAGAGCACCTGCCTAACACGTGTGGCCAGTTAGCTTCTTCTTGGTGTGATAAACACCATGACCAAAGGCAAATAGGGGAGGAGAGGGTTTATTCCATCTGATAACTCCAGGTCCCACTCCATCACTGGGAGATGTCAAGGCAGGAACCTGGAGGCAGGAACCGAAGCAGGGGACATGGAGGAGTAACACTTTCCACAGCTTGCTCAGTCTGCTTTCTTACATCACCCAGGACCATCTGCCCAGGGGTGGCACCACCCACAGAGGGATGGGCCCTCCCACATCAGTCATTAATTAGGGAAGTGCCCCCCACAGACTTGCCTACAGGCCAATCTAATGGGGACATTTTCTGCATTGAGATTTCTCCTCCAGATAATGCTAGCTTATGCCAAATTAACAAAAACCTAACCTGTGCAATGCTTAAAATACACACATACATGAACATACACACACACCCCTTTTATCCAGATACACTGTACTTTCATTGGAATAAGGATCATTAACAATAAATATTATAACTTCTTGGAAGAAAATTAAATATTTAAGTTTTTTTCTTTAAGATGAATAAAGTCTCATGTAGCCCAGGCTGGCCTCAAACTTGCTATGTAGGGAAGGATGCCTGAACTTCTGATCCTCCTGCTTTCACTTCTTCAGGGCTAGCCTGGAGTCATTCACCACCACACCCAGACTATGTGGCACTGTAGAACAGGGTGCTACCACCACATCTAGTCTATGTGGTACTATATGTCAAGACACTAGGAAAAGCACCACTCCATAAATATTTGATTTGAAGACAGAGGAGTTGCATGTGATTTAATGTTTAAAATCACCTGAGAGACTGAGTTTTTCAGGTCATGCTGTATAATTTCCTAAAAAGCCTTCCCTCCATTTTCACAGGACTGCCCTCCACATTGCCTGCGCTTACAGCCTCCCAAAAGTAGTGAAGGCCCTGATCGAGGGAAAGTGTGAGATGGACGCCGTTGACAGTGACAGATGCACAGGTCTGGTGAAGGTACGAGCAGCTCAGGACCTCAGCATGAGATGGCCTTGATTAAAATGCCTGCCATGGGAAGGAGGCTGTGTCCGTTTAAAAGAAGCAGACGGTGAATCCTGTAGGATGTTTATCCGCAATTCTTTGAAGCTGTGATCTGTTTCTTGGTGCAACTCCAACAGGCTGTGCAATGTAAGGAAGAAGAATGTGCCACCATTCTGCTGGAAAATGGTGCCAACCCGAATATTGTGGATGCCCAGGGCAACAGCGCTCTCCACTATGCTGTCTATTATAAGAACACATCACTTGCTGCAAGACTGCTTGAACATGAAGTGAATATTGAAGAGAAGAATAAGGTAGAGACCATACATAAGAAAGGGGTCGATTGACCCACTATATCTGTAGTGTGTGGAGAAGCCTTGTCTGCGGACACACAGGCACCATCTTCCATCTTGACAAGCTCAAGTGTACCTGGGATGACCTGTCCCCTTCTCAACAAGATCCCCGTCTATACCTTGACTAGCCTTGAACTCAATGTGTAGACCAGGCTGGCCTCAAACTCAGAAAGAGATCCACCTGCCTCTACATCCTGAGTGCTGAGATGAAAGATGTGTGCCACCGTACTCTGCCTCCAACATATCAACTCTTTAAGTGTTGATACTTTGAAGGAAGTGTCAGAGGGCACAGTCTTCTTGTAGTAAATATTTGTGAAAACATTGAATTGTTGAAGGTAAATCTAGCTTTTCTGCCCATTGCAAACCAACACAGGCAAGCATCGTTTACCTTGCATGTGGGCTTTACCTTAAAACTCAGAGCTAAAGCATTTGACAAGAAGAAATCTTGTAGTTGGACACCAGTTATATCAAAGAGATTTCTCTCCCATTGTTAAGGCTAGAAAGGATACATTGGAGTGGGATTGAATCAGAGATGCACAGGCCAGTTCAGAAACAAGGCCAACTGAGCAAAAGACCAATGTACTTGAAATTTCCCCAGCTGTGCATCAAGGTGATGTTCAATCTGGGCACCTCAGTTTGGGAAGAAATTCATGGAGTCCTAACTAGGTGAGGAAGTCAACTTCAGGATGGTGCTGAGGAAGGCAAGTTGAAACCTGGCGATGATTAAGTGGGAAACCAGAGTGAAGAACTAGTATTTCCCTCCTGTTAGACGTTCCTGGCAGAAAGAGCCGCTGGGATAAAACTGTAAATTCTCAAATATGCAATATGTCTCCAGAGTTTCCACAATGAAGTCAGCTTGCACTTTGAGTTGGCCAGTCTCTGTTTAGACCCTACGCAAGGAGACTGAATGCAATTTCCAGTTAGTGACTTTTTCTGGTTTTTTTTTTCTCCTTTGAACCAAAACCCCAAAGCAGAAAGGGAAAGCTGTTTGACTGTTTATACCTGTGCTGAGAACACAATGCGCAGCCTGTGTGACTGCACATATGTGGAAGACACAGCTCTGAGCCCGCATGACTGTTTTATACCTATGCCAAGGACCTGGCTCCCTGTATGAGAGGCACACATGTGCCACAGGTTCATGACCCAACTCCATGTCACTTGCTCTGCTCCTCCAGGCAAATTTCACTCTGCAGCTCTTGATTTATACATTGTTTTGATAAACAGCAGTTTCTTAAGTAATTAAGTTACAAGATCATCAATATTTAACATTAGTCTCTTAAAAGTGGGATTGAGTTTTAGAATGTAGACATTGCACAAAGATATATGAAAATACAAAGATATATGAAGATATATAATGAATTGTCACTATAGGGATAAGATTTTGTATTGGGTTTTGAGTATATATGCACATGTGTGCACATGTAAAGGCTTGAGTTTGCCCACCAGGTGTCTTCCTCTATTGCTTTCTTCCTGTTTTGACCGACCAGTGAGCCCCTGGGATCCTCCTGCCTCTCTCTACCTCCCAGTACTGGGATTACAAGCATGTACTGCCACATCTGGACTTTATATGGGCACTGGGGGTCTGGGCGCAGGTCCTCATGAACCTTATCCACTGAACCATCTCCCTTTCTATTAAGCTTTCTAATAGCTACACAATAAAAGAAAACTCGCAAACCACCTAGTCATAACCAAAGTTCCTTTGAAGCCAGGGTCTTTTAATTCAGAAGCCATTTTCTTACGAGCCCCTTGCAGAAGGAATGCCTGATATATCTGGGATCCTGACACCATAAAAAAGAGAAGCAAGCAAGACTCCTTAGCCACCTGGAGTGAACTCGCGCATCACTAGAAAGCTCTCTGCGGTGTATCCAAGCGGCTCCAGTTCCTCTAAAGCCAATTCCACTTCACAACTGTACTTTTCAAGTAGGGATTGATCAAAGATAAAAAGATTTTCTTAATACTGGATGTATAATGTACAGTTTTATAATAGTTCCCAGAGGAATATTACTACTTTTCTGTGAGACTCGGCATTTCTAAAGAAGTAGATATTCTTTGGAAGGTAAATTTAGAACCCCTATTCTGGAGATGAAGGTATAGCCCGCTAACTTCACTACTGTGGTTTAGAATCTGAGGGCATTAACATAAAACAAGATGTGGGTTTACATGGTTTATGTGGGATGAGAAATATATGGTTTTTGTGAGTTAAATTCTTTTTGTCATTTTGCAGAGTGGCTTCACGCCATTTTTACTGGCGGTCAGTGAAAACAAACTGAAGATGGCAAAATTTTTATCAGTGAAGAATGCTAATGTGCATGCAACTGATAACCAGAAAAGGTAGTATAATCCTCTAAACCTTAGTGGTGGTGTACAGTGGTAACAAGTACTCAGAGATATTGAATTAATACAAAACAGAACAATTTTATAATAATTGGGATTTAATGAGAACCCAACACAAATCATCAGCGCTATGCAGAAAAGGAATTATTCAGAATGGGCAACACAAAGAACCATGTATATTAAAGCATACGCCCTTACATATTTACTGGTGTTTGTAAACTAGCAGCTGGAGGTTCCATGTATTTTATTCTACTTTGATAACATAAAGACTCAGCTCATTTTTTTTGCCTCGATATTTATGTTCTTAATCTTTTCATAGCATTTTAACCTCTGCTTTTTATCCACTTTGCTTTAAAAGCTAGAGTAAGCAGAAACAGGAGTTAAAATGGTTTTGTCTTTGGAATGACTCCTTCAGAGAACTGTCCTTGTATAGTCTGAAGAATATTTAACCATATTAACCCTAAACGACTATTAGTTATTAGTTCCAGATGCTGTTATTTTTCTTTGCTTTTTATTTTAAACATACCTGGATATTTTTATTTGGGGTTGGCACTGGCATGGGGAAGAAACTGAGCTGTGCTTGGATAAAGCTTTGATGAAGACCAAGAGGTCGAGTGAAAACAAAGGAGATTGACTGCAGAGTCCCGTAAGACTGGGTTATGTGCCTGGCTTCCCCACTGGCCATGTGTGTGACTTTAGGAACACTACTTACCACTAGCCATGTTCCCCGCTGTGAAGAGCCGGGTCATCAGTCCTAAAGTTGCTTATGGAAGGTTCTGTATGCAGCATTTAGCTCTCTGCCTAGCAAGTGACTGTGAGCATCTGCAGCTCAAATCACTGACTGTCGCTATGGCAATTATTGCTGTACTAACTGTTGTTCCTTTGAGACTGGTCTCACTGTGTAGCCCAGGCTGGCCTCACTTTGTTGGCCAAGTTTACCTTGAAATTTCAGTGATCCTCCCACACCAGCCTCCTTAGTGCTGGAATGACAAGTGTGTACCACCATTCACGGATGATATGCTTTGAGGCCGGCAGATAGCTTTTTCTTAGGTGCCCTTCCACTGCCTATGAAGTATATATAATGCATCTTAGCACATTACACATGAAGTGGAGGAAAGACTATCTTTGGTGGTTTGCTTTGGTTCATTTGTTTATGAGACAGTCTTGCTTTGTATGGCAGGCTTGCCGAGAACTTCTTATGCAGTCCAAACTGGACTCAACCTCACAATCCTGCCTCAGCCCCCTAAGTACTGTGATCCCAGGCCTGCACCATCACACCTGATTAGAGTTCTTCATTTAAGTTTTACCAACCCTGGACACGTGCCCTTGGTGTAGTTATTGCCCACCAAAGGGCTTTAAGTTAGCAGCATCTATGACAAGTTGACACGGGTATGGGAGGCTCCGTACTTTATTTTCTTAAAGTCTCAAGACCTCAAGATGCTTGGCTTATCTGTTAATAGCCAAGTCTACTTAAACAATAAATAGAAAAATATTGCAAACTAGTCCTTCATTTTGTTAAAGTAGTAAGAGTGACGCATCGCTCTGCTCATTCAGAACAGCCCTCATGCCTGCTGTAAGTCATGACTCAACAGATATAGTTAGATTTATTCTTCAGCAAGGTGTAGACCTCTTTTGGAAAGATGCCCTTGGATTGACTGCAATCGATTATGCTGATGATTTTAAATATTATGAGTAAGTGCTTATATTAAATGTTAGTTACTATTAAACGGAGATTCCAAATAAACTACAATAATGCGTCTTATACCTCAGGGCAAGCTTCTTACTCAGTTCAGGTAGCTTTAGAGTGACAAGGACTTAGTCTATATTCATTAGCAGGTACCAAGCAAAGGCCACCTTGGAGGTAGCAGTGAGTGACAGATTCATAATCTTGGGCCTTCATTGTTTTGTTTAGTTTTGTTTTGTTTTTGGTGGTACTGGGAATTGCAAGCTTACCAAGCTCTACATTGAACTTTACCACCAGCCTCTATCCTAGGACTCTTAAGATCTTTATTCTTGGAAATCCCAGCACCATTCATCCCAAGTATTCCCCTATAGAACAGAGTAGAAATAGTGCCACATCTGTGATTCTATTGATCCTATTAGATCTATTATAATGATCTATTATGTCTAAAAATGTCTAGTTTAGCATTAAAGTGCTTTTTCCACCAGAATCCATTTTCCACAACCACCTGCTTAAATGTCCCTGAAAGCTAGGGGTTTGCTCAAGACCAGTGTCAGATGGAGCGGGGAAAAGTGGGGGGGGGGGCTTTGTTTCCCTTGAGTCTCTTGCTTCAGGGCTGCCGTGAAAGCTGTCACCGAGGTCCAGGAAGACAGCTAGCTGCCAGTCTGGGGTCTTCTCACAGCACACACTTAGACGTAAAGGCTCGGGGTGCTTAACAGTTGAGGCTTTATGGGGCAATACCATGAACATTTTAACACACTGAGCAAATGATTTTTACATCAGTATTAACTTTAATTATCATTTTTACAAAGCAATATGAAAATCCTTCTTGAATATAAAGAGAAGAGAGATGAGAAGTCTGAAAGAAGTCTGAACAAACTAGGTAAGAGTTACTCCAGGTGTGGCTACCCTAGATTTTAAAAACTAAGAGACAAAAAAAAAAAACTAAGAGACTATTTTGATAAGAGCAGGTTTAAAAATATCAATGCATAAAATGCCTATGCTCTTTGATTCATTATTGGCAGTCAAGAATTTACATGTTTGTTTTTTGGTTTTTTGGTTTGGGGTTTTTTGTTGTTGTTGTTGTTGTTAATTTATTTTTTTGGTGTTGGGACAGGCGGTTTCGAGGCAGGGTTTCTCTGTAGCTTTGGAGCCTGTCCTGGAACTAGCTCTTGTAGACCAGGCTGGTCTCAAACTCACAGAGATCCACCTGCCTCTGCCTCCTGAGTGCTGGGATTAAAGGCGTGCACCACCACCGCTGGCTCAGAATTCACATGTTTTTAAGAAATTATTTATAGATGTTTCCATCCTGAATGAATATTGTCTGAAGAAAAGTCCATTTAGTTATTCTAGAAACGAAAATTCTGTGTATATATTTTTTTATTTTTTTCTTCTATGTGTATTTTTATAAATAGAATACAATTTTCAAATTACCATATTGCCTAGTTTCTTACTTAGCAGATCCACTGAAGCAATTGGACTTATTATAAAAACATATCTTCTTTTTTTAAAAAAAAAAAACATCTTTTCCTTTTAGCTTTTGAAAAAACTAGATTGTAATTACTAGATGAATATTATGAAATAATTGCTGGTGAAACATGATGTATATAATTAAAATTTTATTATCAATTATTTTCTTGCTTAAATATACAGTTTTAAGTCTTTCTTTCTGATTTCTCTATGGCCCAATAGTGTGTTATTTAATCTTTGTGTTAGTAGAGTCACTCTGGTTTCCCTTGCTATTGACTTCCAGTTTCACTCCATTATGATTGGATAAGGGATATAAATATTTTAATTCTTTATATTTGTGCAACTTGCTTTATGGCCTAATGTGAGATATATTTCAAAGAATATTTCATTAGATGCTGAGAATAACATGTTTTTCATAGCTGTTGCATAAATGAGTAGAATATTTTGTGAATGTCTTCAAGTACATTTGATCTATGACATAAGTTAACACTGACTGGGGTTGCTTTCCTGGCTTTTGTCTTGTAGCCAAATGAACAGTTTTGATCAAACATTTGAAGCAGCTGTGCTGTGTCTTAGTGAAATAGCTGCAGTCTTTAGGAGTGTCCCTAAGTCCTTAGTTCAGAAAGAACACACTATGTGTGGACAGTGTTGGTGTATGGTAGAGATTCTGCTAACGAGACCACTGTTGGTCAGTGCCGGGATGGTGTCATGGTCCCTGCACATAGCAGTTTACTTTAAGGAACTGAAGTTTCACAGATGCCAATTTTCTTCCTCGCATTTGATAATTACAAAAGAGGAAGCAAGAGAGTTCTTGTGCATTCATGGCCTACAAGTAGTATAGTTAGAGTACATTTTAGACTACTCTTCAGGTTCAGTCTCAAGGAAATACGCCTAATAAAATATCAGAGTCTTATGCTTCTAATGTGCCCACTGTCCTCTTGAAGCCTGTAAATGCGTTCTACTTTTGTCTTTAGCAGTGGAGGGAAGTGCTGAAGAGGACTCTTCCAGAAGGTAGGACATCTAAAGACTTGATAACTGATTAGATAGCAGAGAAGAATGTGATGTTTTGAATGCTTTACCCTGGAAGGCCATACTGTTAGATTTTAAGATTGTTCTGGTCGTTACCAGAGCTTTGAAAAGTGTCTTTGTGGTTATTGTGGGAACCAGCCATGATAAGCTAAGTATGGACAGGTCACCCAAAGGAAATTCTTTCCTTCCAACCATTATCACCTGCCAGAGTAGAACTTGGCCAGGCCATCGATAAGTTTAATGGAGGCCTGAGTCTCAGTAGTTCACCCTGAAGCAATACCTGGTTGCAAGAAGAACCACAAACTGAGATTACCCAGGCACCACCCAAGAACGGACCATCCAAAGGAAATGCCTAACGTTCCAATGGATGTAAATAGGATCACCTGCCAGCACACACTCACCAGGACACCCCTAGATAAATGTCAACCAATCAGGGGTCCTGAACCTCAGAAATCCCTCACCCCCACCCTTACTACTATAAAAACCCAATTCTAACTGAGCTCGGGGCTCTCGGTTATTCCAATACGTTGGACATGTGGACAGACCGAGTTTGCAAACTTGCGTAAGATAAAGGCTCTTTGCTTTTTACATGTGGGACTCAGTCTCCTTGTTGGCTTTTGAGGGGACTTCACCGATTTGGGCCTGATAGTTGTAGTCTACTTTATACCAGTTAGGTGACTTTCATGTCACACATAAAGGTTGAGTAATTGGCTCGTGACTTCCTAACTGACATACAGCTGACCCAGATTTGACTGCAGTCCGACTGGCTTCCCTATGCACAGGATGATGGGGGTTGTATCACGCTGTATGTCCATATCAGTTCAGTTCAAACTACAAAACTCAGTCATGAAGTGCCTGGTCTGGAATTTTCCTGAGCATCCCAGTCCCAGAAAGAGTCCCCATTTTTGACAAACGCAGTGGTACTAGGCCTTTTTTTTTATTGGCTTGGTTTTTGGAATATCTTTACTTTTTTTTTGACAATTCCATATATACAATGTGTTTTGACCACACTCACCTCCCTTCACCATCTCTTATCCCTTTCCACGACTGCTAAAGTCTCAGAACCTTGTTTTCAACCATGAAAGGCTTCACGGCAGTTCCCACTCAGCTGTGGCTTGGATCCATTGGTTGTATGTAAGCAAGATCAGGAAAGTTTGGAGTGGGAGTATTTTAACAGACATGAAAAAAATCTTAACTACAGTGTTTAATTAATCATACCAAGTATGAGTTTAGTGGATTTTTTTATTTCTATACTTACTGTTTCCCCGGTATTGTTTTCCTTAGGCCACTGCCCATGCCTCGTTCCCTGAAGTGTTTCCCTCTGTTATGAAATGCCTTTTATCCCCTCAATGACTAATCTTTGCTTGATTGTTTTTGTTTTGTTCAGCTCTTCTTTGAATTTCTTGTTGTGGAATATTACTTTATGTAAAGATGCGTTACATTTCTTTATATTGTAGAATGTTACTTTAATCGTGTAAAGCTGTGTCATATTTGTTTATGCTGTATTTGCTTAATGATATAAAGATGTGTTGCATTTGTTTATAAGATGTGTTACATTTGTTTATGCTGAGTTTGTAGCTGCCATGTGGGTGCTGGGAATTGAACCCGGATCCTCCAGAAGAACAGTCAGTGCTCTTAACCACTGAGCCATCTCCCCAGCCCTGCTGAATTTGTTTAATGATGTAGAGTTGTGTTTCTTTGCCTTCCTAATGCACCTGGCTAGTCTAATAAAAAGCCGAACAGCCAATAGCTAGGCAGGTGGGGCTGGAAGGCAGAGAGAATAAGGAGGAGGAGGAATCTAGGCTGGGGGAGAAATGAACAAGAAAGAACAAGGGGGAAAGAAAGGGAGATGCCTGGGGCCAGCCAGTCAGGTAGCTGTCAGACAGACAGACAGACAGACAGACATGGAGTAGGACATACAGAATGAAAGAAAGGTAAAAAGGCCCTGAGGCAAAATGTAGATGAAGATAAATAGATTAAGTTATAAGAGCTAGTGGTGGAAGCAGATGCAGAGATACACAGCTAAGCACTGGGCCAAGCTTCCAGAGACCAGTGTAAGAGAGGGAGGAGCAATAATATGAGCAAAAAGGTCAAGACCGTGATGGGGATACCCCCAGAAAGAGCTGACCTGAGCTAGTGAGGGCTCACTGACTGGACTGATAGCAGGGAACCTGTACAGAACCAAACTAGGCCCTCTGAATGTGGGTGAGAGTAGTGTGGCTTGGGCAGGCTGTGGGGCCACTGGCGATGAGGCCAGAATTTATCCCCTGTGCTTGAAGTGGCTTTCTGGAGCCCATTCTTCTTGGAGGGATGCCTTGCTCAACCTAGACATAGGCCTTGATCGTCCTTCAGAGTGATGTGCCAGACTTTGTTGACTGCCCATGAGAAGCCTTACCCCTCTGTAAAGAATGGATGGGGAGTGAGGTGGGGGGAAAGTGGAGGGAGTGGGAGGAAGGGAGGGAGTGGGAACTGGGATAGGTATGTAAAATGAGAAAAGATCATTTTTTTAAACTAATTAATTAAAATTTTAAAAAAAGAGCCAGTGGTACTAACGTAAGGTAAGACCAAACATTCATAACTAATAATAAGTCTATGTGTCATGAATTGGGAACTTGTTGGCAGTCCAAAAAAAAAAAGCCTGCTACACTTTCTAATCTTTTATTTTTCATTTTTGCCAGTTACATATTCCTACTTGTCTGTAGATAGAAGCAAAAACCCATAGAATTTAAGTATTTTAAATAAACTTATAATCAAAATATGCTCTGGCACGTCAACCTGTTTTTCATTACTTATTTATCTGTTTATTTATTTATTGGGGAAAGTGCCTGCACATGCCATGATATCCAAGTGGAAACCAGAGGGCAACTTCTTCCCTTTCTTTCCTTCCACCGTGTGAATTTCAGGAATCAAACTCACATTGTCAGGCTTGGCAGTAGGCATCTTGCCAGCCCCTTGACCTGTTTTTATATCTTACGCAAAATATTGTTTTGATAGATAACCTGAAACTCACAAATAAGTAAGTGACTCGTCTGTACCTGGTAAGTGACAGGAAGGAGATTTGAACTTGAGTCCTAGCGTCTAAAGCCTGTCTTCTTCCTTATTTGTCATTCTGTAAGTGTCTCGATAATGGAGGAGGAGAGCGGGTACACTGAGTTCAAACGAAGACTAGCCAGCATCCAGAGTGTCTCTCTGTTTCCCAGTTCATCATCTGACCCAAAAGTAAGGTACCCTAAAAGTAATTCCTCACAAGACACAGTAGTGCATGTCTGTAATGCCAGCACCCAGGGGGCTGAGGCAGAAGGATTGCCATGAGTTTGTGGTCAGTCTGGGATATACAGGGAAAAATAAGCCACCCAACCTATGTAGCAAGACCCTCTCTCAAAACATGAAAGAATCATTTTATATTTTCTTCATGAATTGTCTCCTCTGGTGTGCACAATGATAAAGTTTTCAAAGAGTAAATCTGTAAACATATAAAATATCCATTCCTATCCTGTCTTCCTATGTTATGTTCATATATGTTACACATCTGGAAGACTGGCTTTTTACCCACTTATGTATAGAATATCCATTACAGGAAAAGGGAAATTTATATTCTAGCCCACAAAAAAAAAGGTCTCCTGTGGTTGGCCAGGATTCTGTCTGAGCTGTCTATACCATCCCCAGTAACTATAGTATAGTTTAAGCACACCATTTTCATAGCCTGTTTCTCCTCATTCCCATGCCTTATCTTGTGTTCACTCTGTCTTGGTTCAGAAAACAGCCTACCCACCTGCCTTTACCTCCTCTGACCTTGATTTAAAAAAACCACCCTGTGTTTATAGCATTTCCTGGGCTTCAAAGTAACAACTTTATCCTTAGCAATAATCATTTCCAAAGCAAAAATTCCAGATAATTCATTTCTGTTCACATTTGGTAATTTCTGCTTACATGTGAAACAGAGTGTGTCTTCTCCCTCCAGCGTGATGCAGGACGCTGCCTATCCTTGACGGCACAGTAAACACTGTGGTCTTGGTAGCTGCATTCTTGGTGAGTGAGTAGGTGAATTAATGTATTTTCTGAAGTCTTCTTTTTTCTTCTTTTTAATAGGAAGGACCAACAGAGCCAGAAAGTGGAAAAAATGAAAAAGGTGATGTTTCAGGAAAAAGAAATTGCGATTTGCTTTGTGTTGAAAGGGGGCATCAAAGCATTAAAAATGGTGCTGTCAGGTGTCTATGAAAATCTGCTAAGCTACAGTGAAAATTTTAAGACAATCAAAGGTGGAATTAATTACTCTCCTAATTTCAGGAATTAAGAGACTAAGGTTAGAGGAACAGGAGCTCAAGGACCTCCTGGAGCACATTGTAGAGGCCAGCCTCAACAGGACACTAAAAGATAGGGAGGGAGAGAAGGAGGGGGAAAGGAAGGAAGGAAGGAAGGAAGGAAGGAAGGAAGGAAGGAAGGAAGGAAGGAAGGAAGGAAGGAAGGAAAGAATTAAATATAAATTATATAGCTCCAATCATAATCTCCATTTCTTTACAATGTTTGTACCCTTTCACCCCTTTGTGATGTTCATTGCTCACTGAAATTTGGCTTTTCACTTTAGAACCTATTGGTTCTTATTTTCTCTAACTCTTTTACAAAATTGCATATGGGTAATTTCCAAACTGCCCCAAAAACCTTGTGGAAGAATCTGTCACTGCCTCAGGATAACCAGTGATTGCCTGGATAATTACGGCAAGTTTAGGCAATTCAGTCTTTTTTTTTCTGCGAGCTGGAGAAGTGGCTCGGTGGCTAAGAGCACTTTCTGCTATTACAGAGGGCCAGGTTTCAATTCCCAGCATCCATATGGGGTCTCACAACCACTCCAGTTCCAGGGGACCTGGCACCCTCTGCAGGTACCAGGAATGCACACAGTCCACTCATATGCAGTCAAAATACCCACATACATAAAATAAATGTATATATTAAATATGTTTAAAAGTATATATATGAACTAAATAAGCAAAATTCTCTATTCTCCCAATGTCCTTGTTTATCGTGTTCTATTTTGTAATGTCTCATTTCCCTGAGGGACAGTCCTAGGGAGCGGCTTCTCATTACACATGTGCATTTGTCAGCAGAGCTGGCTGGAGGGGCGACATCAGTGCACAACCCGAGGAGGCTCGATGGCGGAGGAGTTGACCAGCTCCAGGTCTGCATTAGCTTCTCTCTATATTCCTCTCTAATGCTGTACCTTTTGCATGGGACAAATAAAATTACTCTTTATATAGAATATTATAATTATTATCAAAATTTTACATCCAGCATTTATTTTTCGTCACTCTAGCTATAAAACTTAACCTCGCCTTAGAATCTATAGTCACTTCTAGCAGCTGCCATTGGAATTGGGAGAAGCTTTCTCTGAATCTTTCCTGCTGTTCTGTCTGTGTAATTAGCTCACACAATGAAGGTGAGATGAACTCTGAGCTGTGTTGTTACAGAGTTGGAGCTGAGCGTGGTTGTGTGTCATGGCCACTGGTTAGATTCCTATAGGAGACATGACTCTAGACCTTGTGTTTGTGGTTTTGTGTTAGCATACCCTAGTGCCCTGTTTACAGAAGTAATCCCTAACTGTGGATTCTGATCATCTTCCAGGGCTGTTTAATTTAAGTAAACATTATTATATATTAACTCATTTAATATATGCCCATCGTATGATATGTAAACATTTCCTTACACGTTGGCCTTGGCAGATGCAAAATGAATGATAAATATTTTGAAAATTGGGAGCAGAAGAGAATTGACAGAAAATTCATAGTGACAAAAATATTTGAGAAAACCTAGATGAATTTCCCTCTTTTTAATAACCACAACCATGAGGACATTCAATATTCCTGTGATAAAATGATGATGATGATGATGATTACGATGATGATATGAGGATGATGTCATTGTCTTCATTGTCATCTGGGTTTTGAACCTAAAATTTAACCCATGTTTTCTACTTCTCAGTAAAGTTCTAGCGCCAGTATTCATAGTTCTTCAATATTTACATGTAAATTTTCTGGGTTTTCTTAAGAAGTTGAGAATCCTGTTGACTCAGATTCCTCCTCTTTCCTTTCTCCTCTTCTGAAACAAGACTGTCTATGCAGTTCACCCTACTGGTCATGACTGAACAGATTTGTTCAACTAGGAAATGTACCTTTACTTTTAAATACCAGGTCCTACCTGAAATGTTTGGCTGCCTCACCATGTGTGGGAATAGGAAATAGGTATTGTTGGTGTGGTGCTTGTGTGGGGAACTGGAAAATCATTTTCTCGTGTTGTAGTGATCCTTGACCGTGCCTCATCCTATGATCACATAAAGATCTCCTCTTTGGCCAAGTAGAGTGGCACATGTCTCTACTCGTGACATCCAGGAGGTTGCAACCAGAGGTTCACCAGTCCAAAGCCAGCCTGAGCTACATAGTGAGATCCTATTTCACAACAGCAAGCTTTTGGGGATGGAGTCAGCCTCAGAGCACTTGTCTGCATGTGCAAAGCCTAGGTTTGACCCTTGTCCCTGGAAATATGCCTTCTGCCCAACAGATATGCTATGAGCCCTTGTGTTATTGACCAGGAAGGCCTGAAAACTCTCAGTTCAAATGTTCTTCTCTGAATGCTGAGTGCTTGGACAATGTGTACTTGGCATAAGCCTCACTTACAATTGAAATAGAAACTTTTGGAAACATAGTTGAACTAAGGAACCTTCCTGCAGCATACAGAATTTTTGGTTTACAATAATATATTTTATCCGAAGTACAGATTAGAATAAAGTTCTAAATAAGTAAATATCATATGTGGTAACACACGACTGTGTATGCAGTTTCACAGTTGGCATCTGCGATAGATGTCAGGATTCCCTAATTATACTGTTTTCTCTTTTTGGTGTCAAAATTTCAGCATTCTTGGTTGGTTTCTATCATTCATTTACAGTGTCTTGGTCTGTGTTCTATTGCTGTGAAAAGCACAATGACTGTGGCAATTCTTATAAAGGAAAGCACTTAACTGGGGCTGGCTTACAGTTTCAGAGGTTTAGTCCATTATCATCATGATGGGGAGCATGGTGGCATGCAGGCAGAGAGAGACACTGGGCCTGGCTTGAGGGTTTGAAACCCCAAAGTCCACCCCCAGTGACACACTTACCCCAGTGACACACAGCAAGGCCACACCTGCTCCAACAAAGCCACACCTCCTAATCTCTATCAAGTAGCTCCACGCCCTAATGATCAAACATTCAAATCTATGAGCCTTTGGGGTCTATTCCTGTTCAAGCCACCACAGCATTTAACTATATATAGCAAATAACTCTTTTCCTGAAATCCATGATGCTTTCTCTGAGTAAGATTTCAGTTCCTACACTTTACAGATGTATTCTAATTTATCTTCTAAGTATCTGGTTGCCTTGATTTAAGAAGTTACAAGTAGAGATATTGACCCTGAGCTTCTCTGACTCCCCCAAGACTCTTCATTGAGGCATTCTCTGTTTTGTTTTCACACCCCACACAAGTAGAGTAGAAACACTGAAGCAGGGGAAACACTAGACTCCCTTCTCCCTGACATCGCCTACCTTCTTACTCACAGGCAACTTCATTTTGTGCTGGATGACAACTCCATGTCTTACCAAGGGAATATGCTTTCAAGCCAATGACAAAAAATACCCTACCCCTTCTTTATATAGACACACCTTTATATGTGTCTACAAAACTGCAAAGATGAACTCTCAGGTATATATTTATGACGTTGGGACTTAGATCCCAGTCACAGAAATGCAAGAATTTGCAGTGTAGCCTGAAAATGTCTTTTATAAGGAGTGGCTTCAATTCTCTGTCTGAGCTGCCCATCTCTGGTTCAAACACACCATTCCACAGCCCCTGCTGGCCGAGTTTCCGTGCCGCATCCCTCTGCTCATGCTCCCCTGGTCCAGAATGGCTTTCATACTTCCCTTTGCTTTCTCTGCTTTCACATATCACCCTGTGTTTGTAGCATTTCCTGAGCTTCAGGGGCAGAACTGGCTTTTCTTTTTTTAATCTTTTAAGTGATTTATTTATTTTTATTTTGTGTGCATTAGTGTACCACTAAAGTGTAATGTCTTTATAAAGGTGTCAGACCCTTTGGAACTGGAGCTGCAGATAGTTGTGAACTGCCAGATGGGTGCTGGGAGTTGAACCTGGGTCCTCTGGAAGAGTAATCTGTGCTCTTAATGACTGAACCATCTCTCCAGCCCAAGCTGACTTTTCTATATGTCCCTCACTATAATCATTTCAGCTGTAGGAATAATGAATGATTCACTTCTGTTCTCAATTGTTAAACATAACTCGACTCAAGCTTGGATGGAAAAAATCATCTTCTGCTTCCAGTTTGAGTAATGGTTGTGGCTTGGTAAACACAGCAATTACGTGATGTAGTGGGTGGGTAGGTGAGTAAATAAATGTTTTCACAGTGTGTGTTCCCTTTTCTCATCTTTGATAGGAAGGATTGGCTGAACCAGGAACTGAAAGAAAAGAACAAGGTGATGTTTCAGGAACCACACACTAATTAGCCACACCCAGTTATCACACTCTGCCTTGTGTAAAAAGGGGGCAGCAAAGCCATCAAAATAAAGCCAGCAAAAATCTAGGAAAGTCTGCTAAGCTAGAATGCAGTTACGACAGTTCCGGGTGCAGGGTGGAACACTTTTGTAGAATCCGGAATTAAAAGGATGTAGTAGGAGAACAGTGAGCTCCAGGGTGACCTGGAGTACACAGAGATCCAGTCTCACAGCAACAAAGACAAACAACAAACAAACAAACAAACAAATGCAAAATGAAGACTAAGTGTGTAGACTCAAGCATGATGCCTGTGTCCCTCCAGCATGCTTCACCCTGTTACCCTCTTTGCAATTTCAATGCTTTCAATGGGGCTCTTTGCTGGAAAGCCTGTTCTTAGTCATGCCGACTATTCCCCTTGGCTACAGCTCACAGAGGCCACTTCTAGTCTGCCATCTTACCTGTCTTCTTGACACTGAATGCTATCTAATGTGTCCCCAAGAAGATGAAACATTTGGACAATTAGAAATATTTTTATTTAAATATATTTATATATTTAGCTAAAATTCATATTGAATTAAAATTTCCCACTTGCAAAGAGAAAATGGAAATGGTCCTTATTTATTGTGCTCTATTTTGTAATGTCTCATTCCCTGTGGGACAGTCCTAGGGAGCGACCTCTCATTACACATGTGCATTTGTCAGCAGAGGCGGCTGAAGGGACGACGTCAGTGCACGACCCATGGAGGCTCGATGGCGGAGGAGATGACCAGCTCCAGGTCTGCATTCACTTCTTGCTATATTCCTTACAAATTAATGCTGTTTCTTTCCATTTTGTAGGTTAGAGTAGATCAAAAGGGAATACTTTACCTAATAATCATTATGCCATAATTTCCTATCTAGTATTTATTTTTTCATAACTATTAATATATTCTCTCACAATTTTACACATGTATATAACACATTCGGGTCGCACTTACTCCACCCCTTATCCCTACCACCACCAAACTCCCCCTCCCAACAAGTTCCCCTTCCACTAGCATAGCTTTTCGTTTTGTTTCCTTTTTGTCTGTGACACACTGAGTTTAACCAGGACTCTTTGTCTTCATGAGCATGAATGCGGTACTATCCCCTGCAGTGTTAGACACCAGTCATAAAACTTAAATATGCCTCAGATTCTACAGCAACTTAGAGCTAAACTTCATTTTAATTGAATTTTTTTCTCCGAACACATATGCAGAGCTTCCTCACAGATGAAGAAGTTGGGATAAACATCTGAGCACTGTTATTATGGTTGAAGCTATGAGTGGTTAAGAGCCCCTGCATGGGATTCTGATAAGTCATTATTCCATAACCTTGTATGTTAGCAGACCCCAGTGCTCAGTTTACAGAACTACTTTCTTAATGTGGATTCTGATCATCTTCAATGCCTAACTAAATGATGTGGGAGTGTCATATATCAATCTGTTGATTTCATTGGTTAAGCAATAAAGAAACTCCTTGGCCCTGATAGGTTAAAACATAGGTGGGAGGAGTAAACAGAATAGGATGCTGGGAGGAAGAGGAAGTGAGCTCAGACCCAACAGCTCTGCTCTGGAGCAGAGACGCCATGCTCCGCTCTCCCAGGCAACTCCGACCCAGGATGGACGTAGGCTAGAATCTTCCTGGTAAGCGCACCTTGGGGTGCTTACACACATTATTAGAAATGGGCTAAATTAATATGTGAGAATTAGCCTAGAAGAGGCTAGATAGAAATGGGCCAAGCAGTCTTTAAATGAATACAGTTTGTGTGTTGTTATTTCGGGCATAAGCTAGCAGGCGGCCGGGGTGCTGGGGACGCAGCCCCGCCGCTCCTATTACAACTAAATTAATGTATTGTTCGTTTAGTCATTTAGTATTTAATTCACTACAAAAGTCTTAACTAAAATTCAGGAGTTGTTTGTCTACCTTCATTTTATGTGGAGAATGGATCAGGAAAAAGCCATTTTATAGAATTATGATATGTAGGGGTTTTTTCTTTTCATCTTAACTTTGGCAGATATCAAATGAATGACATATTTTTAAAGAAACAGAAACAGCAAAATTATAACATTAAAAATGTCTTTTGTAGGGCAGGTCAGCCTGGTCTACATAGCAAGCTCCAAGGCGGTGGAGAAAACACAATGTCGTTTGTGGTTTGTTCATGATTATCTGTCAGCTGCCCATTCTATTCTGGTACCATGGTCCAGTTTAAGAACGGAACCTTCACAGCCCTCATTTGCCTTGGGTTGTGCTGCCCTGGCAACCTTCACAGCTCTCTGTACCTTCCCTGACTCTGACAATACCACTCTTGTTGTGTTGATAGCATTTCCTCCTCCTTTGCAGGTAGAACTGCCTCTTCCCTTCCACGTTCCCTTATGATCATTTCAATTATATGAATAATGGATGGCTCATCTCATTTTTATCATAACTCTGCTTCAGCTTGAATAGAGAGCAGAATCTGTCTTCTGTCCTCAGCTTCATTGGGCTATGCTTACTGTTTGATAAAACAGAAAATAACTGTGGCCCTAACAACCGATTTATTTTAGTGAGTGAATGAATAGGTTTCATGACATCCTTTCTCCTTTTGCTTTTAATAGGAAGATGCAACCAAGCCAAGGGCTAGCAAAGAAGATGAAGGTAGAGTTTCATAAAAGCACAGCTCACACTCCATCATACAGTGGGGAAGGAGACAAAAACATTAAGTGTAACACATCAATATCTGTGGAGAATTTCTAAGCTTTAGTGCAATTTTAAGATAATCAAAGGTGGTTGATCAAACACTTGTAATCCCAGAAACCAAAAGGCTGGGTCAGAAGATTATAAACCCTAGGATATCCTGGGGTACATGGCAGAGTGCAATGTCAAAACTGTAAAGGAAAAAAAATTAGGGCAAGTACAAAAGGATTAATTCTGTGTAAATCCAAATGACACCCATCCACACTTAATAGTTTTCTTTTGGTCTGTACTTCTTTTGATGACCACCTTAAGTCTCTGAAATTATTTTTTTCTTTTGGTTGCCATTTCACTGAAATATGAGCAATGGTTTAAGATGTATATGCATGTCTTAGATTCACAGTAACACATGTTCTATCTCACATTTACAGATGTGGCACACACATTAGCCACAGAAAAAGAGGATAAAGACGAATCATCCTGGGATTCTGAGGTATCGTCTGTTCTGTTACTATTTTTTAATGATTATTGAGGGAAATTATCACTGAAAGGCATATTTTGACTTCCTCACTTCCGCCATTCTTACCAGAAACTATCCCCACGTGTTTCACCTGGCATCCATTAGGACATCATGGGGTCGTATGTTATTGCAGGGTGGAACAAGTCTGGTACTCATTCACATCATGAAGGCTGTGTGGTGCAAAGCAAATGCCCAGGCTGTGAGTGTAAAGGACTCGGCGTGGCTCTGAATTGTATGTTAGAATTGAAGGCGTGCACCAGGTCTACCATGGTTGAGTGATTCTGTTGCATGTAAAAAGTCCTAACATTCGTTTAGACCTGTTATACAGAGCTGTCCTCTGAGCAGAGCTGCCATCACCCTCAGGAGTTCCGCTGAGTCTGCTCCCAGAACATCACAGCAGGCACTGTTAACGGTCTTCATGACTTCATGGAAGGAAGAGGTGGGGAGGGTCACGGAACCCTCACCTGTGTGTTCAGCCACCCCTCTCAGCCAGTTGTGTGCCATTCTTCTTTAATTGCATGTGGTCTCGGGGTCCCTGGGAGGAGCTAGATGATATTGGTTGGGATGGATTACAGGAGGGGACTCCATCCGCAGTCATGAGAGAGCTATCCTCCCTCCTGGGTGTAGGCCTTTCAGTGTGGCTGCTTTAAAGTCAGCCATGCTCCTGCCCATAACCTCTTACCCATGCCTCTGTAATTGAGCCTAATCAACTCACTGTCGCACAGAGTGAACTTTGGAGGAACTGCACCTCACTTTCACTGAAACTATTCCAGGACGTGTTGTTTACATCTCCCCAATGGATGGAGGCTTGGCAACAGGACCTTAAGTCTTCACAGCTTGGAGTTTCATAGGATCATACTTGGCCTTGACGTGGCTGATGCTCTTGGTTTTGATGTGTATGTGAGAGCATTTCAGGAGAAGGAAAATCAGGGGATCATAAATGTAATGGGGCGTGATACTGATGACGATGATAATAAATTAACTTCATTTCGTATGCCTGAATAGATTAGTGAAGAGTTTTAACAGTGAACCGGTAGCAGCTGCGTTTGTAGTGACCTAGCTGTAAACACGGTTTGTCATCTGCATAGATGTATCCACACAGTGTTTAAAGTCAAGCATGTTAGGCTTTCGTTCAGTCTTTTAGGAGCTCTGTATTCTTAGATGAAATTATTTATCCCAACAAAAATGGTACAATATCTTGCCCTGAGTTTATATAATTATATATTTATAAGTATAGAAAAAAATTACCACAGTTTGAAAGTTAAATTTGTTTTAAAATATAAAGCAAGCTGACTTCAGTTATAGTTGTGACTTAAGAAATAGTGATGACCATGGATGCAGCGTTATGAAGGGAAGCTCATTCCATTCCACCATGAATACAAGGCTATGAATGGAAGCTCATTCTATTCCATTGAGGATGCAGGGCTGTGGATGGAAGCTCATTCCATTCCACCATGGATGCAGCGTTATGAATGGAAGCTCATTCCATTCCACCATGGATGCAGCACTGTGGATGGACGTTCATTCCATTCCAAAGAACATAACCTGGAGAACGGGAAGGAATGGTCTGAGTTGCTGTCTCCTGAACATGACATGGCTGCTTCACTCATGACTTTACAGCAGCTATGGCTTTCTGCACAAGATCTGGTCGGAAAGATCTCTGCATAGATGGGGTAGATCGCTCCAAGACTTGCCCCTTCCTGGGGAGCTAGTGGCAATGGAGAGGCTCAGGAGGGACAGTCGTTCCTAATTAAGCATGTGACCACTAGTAGGTTTCCTTCACTCCAGTGGATGGCCCCACACCCATGCTCATTGGCAGGACTAACTGGACTTAGTGAGTTACCAAAGAAAAGACATGCAATTGGAAAGGGGCATAGGATGGGGTTTGTGATGGGAATATGGAGGTATATGTGATCATATTTTATTATGTACATGCATGAGATTCTCAAAAATAAAAAACAATTTATGATATAAACTCTAGCTCCCAAATTCTTGAGAACAATCAGTTGAGATGTTCTTTGTACTTAGTAAAAGGACTCATTGTTGGTATGTTTATCAAATATTTTTCCTATACAAATACTTTGAAAGTTCTTATTCACTTAGATGAAGGAACTTTTCAATGTCCTTTTTGTGCCTGTGATACACTGCAAAGCATCATGTCAGAAGACATAACACGGGGGATAAATTGTGTGAAGATAATAGTGTTTCAGAATATAGTTGCTGTACTGTAGCAAGTGTATTTTTAAGAACATGCCCTCTGAACCGGGCAGTGGTGGTGCACACCTTGAATCTCAGCACTCGGGGGCAGAGGCAGGAGGATCTCCGTGAGTTCGAGACCAACCTGGTCTACAAGAGCTAGTTCCAGGACAAGCTCCAAAGCTACACTGAAAAAAAAAATGCCCTCTGACCAGGTGGTGGCAATGAACGCCTTTAATGCTAGCACTCGGCAGAGGCAGGCAGATCTCTGAGTTGAAGGCCAACCTGGTCTATAGAGCTAGGACCAGGACAGCCAGGACTACATAGAGAAACCCTGTCTTGGGGCAAAAAAAAAAAAAAAAAAAAAAAAAAAAGACTATGTCCTCTGCTTTGAAGTGAGGGATAAAGGTAGAGTTGCAGCCACTGAAGTTAATCCTGGAGCAGTCTGCACATCCATAAGTATTTCCCATATAAGCGCATTGATGGCAGTCAGGAGTCACTGAAGATAAAAGAGCAGCCGGTCTAAAGAGCATTATTATTGCCCATTAAAAATCCTGGCTTTTTGGGATATGTTTGTTTTATTTTTATATCAAATACCTTTTGAAACAGCATTTATCTGTTCAGAAAGTGCTTTGTGCAACTCACTCTTGGTGTTAAATTTTACAGAGTGTCTCTGAGACTCTTCCACTTATTTGCATTGGTGTTGATGGAATGTTACAAGTAAATGGCCAAGCAGTAGGTAAGAGCTGTGTGGTTAAAGCTGCCATTTGACCTGGCGGAATGTTTATTCAAACACGACCACAGGTGTCTACTAACAATCAAGGGCTGTTTCCTATTGAATGCACAGAAAGGAAATGGAGAAATGAGATGATACTAAGTCCTATGTTTTCTCTGGTTTTAGCCATGGGTTCTGTTGAGGAGGACCCTCTAAGAATAATATTTCCTGTTCAAGATTCTAAGACCAGAGGAATGGGAGGAATTAAGAATATGAAAAGTGGGAATGAAGAATAAAAAAGCCTAGAGTACAGAGGCTAAGTGGGGGTAAAGAGGCAAATACGTGTACCATAAGCTATGATGTACCATATGTGTGTGTGTATTACATAGTCTTCATAAGGTAGCAGATCAATATGACAATATGGTAAGGCTAAAGTCTACTGCTCAGTAGACAAGAAGTGGTAATAGTGATGACTTTATAATGTATTAGGAACAAACCCACAGCCGTAGAGGACTGTTTGACACGGAGAAGTTTTCAGGGGAGCAGGGCACAAAGGGACCATGTTGTCTGGGTGCTTTCACAGGGGTAGGGAGTGATGAGCAAGTTGAGATTACTAACATGAGATGGATTCGGTATGATAAGAGCTCCAGAGAATGTTGGGATCAGAAAGGACTGCTACTGACTGGGACAAGTCTCATCCACTCATTTTTTCTATCTCAAATATCAGTCTTCAAAGCCAGAGATTCACTGATATTAATTATATACAAAATTTAATTGGAATATTCAAGCATTGGACTGGTGTTTTAAAAGAGAACTTATGTTCATTAAGACATTTGTTTCATAAAAAGTCCTTTACTAACAGCAGTGTCCAGTCATAGGGAGAATTTCCTGTGGATGAGAGGAGGTAGATTGTGTGTAGTCAGAACTCATTTTAAACACTACAAAATCATCAAAAGACAAGTTTGATTAATAAAAAATCCTTTAAATTGTCTTATGGCATATTAAACCATAGTCATTTCAGATACAAAAGACATTATGAAGTTATTCACATTCTTTTGATACTCTTGTTACTTTTATTAAATATGGCCCTGGTTTTAAAGTATAGAAACTTACTAAGATATGCTTGGGGAAATGAGTGTATTTTTTTCCATCTGAAAACTTTATTTATTTCAGTGTTGAAAACATGTATTATCTCCTACCTGTGGTTTAAACACTCTTGCATGGGGTGAATCAAGGAACTTCGGGCCAGGCTCAGTGGTCATGAAAAAAGGAAACAATTTGGAAGCCTAAAATGAATTCTATCTTAGGCCAAAGTGATAGAAAGCTTTTGGTCCTCTAAATTGCAGGAGAAATAGAATACATGATCAATATGTGATGCACTAGAGATACACACCATAATATCCCACCATCATCCTTGGCGTTTCTTGTCTGAAGGTCATGATTTGTTCTAATGAGAGACCACTACTCTGTATCGGTTAGCAGAGCCACACTGGCCTGCATTCTCTCTCCTCTTGGCTGCGGTTACTGGAAATGTAATCTCACTTCTGAAATGTCATCTGCACGTTTTACTGAACCTACATTCCTATGTCTTTTTCTTTACAATACATATCATGTTACCTGCACATTTGCAAAAGATTGATACCTGTAATAGCCCTTCTCAAAGAAGTACACAGAGATCCAGTTCTGTCATAGGAATGCACAGATGTATGTCTGGCTTTGTTGTATTTAAGAATAATTGACCAGGTGTCTCCCTTTGCATTTTAGAAAATCCGGAGAAATATCTTCATTGGCTGGTAATAACATTTACCTTCTATCTTGAATTATTAAGCATGTGTATCATGTTACATGCAATATGTATTAACCATCTTGTTTCAAATCTCATCCAGCGTAACAGAAAAGGGAAAAATTCTCTCCCTGATCAAATGAAAGGAGTTGGGGATGCACAGGCATTCACACCAGGTAACCTTTAAAATAAAAATTATTTTGAAGAAAATTTATTAAACCAATGGAGAAATCTCCCTTCTTGTTTCTAATTCATTTTTCTCACAAATGGAGTAGAAGGATTAAATTCCCATACCTAGCAGCTCACAGAAACCCAATAATTGTTGAGTACAGTAATCTTATATAAAGATGACCTACTGTTTCCTCCAATTCAGTTCAAATGGTAAATAAGCATGATATGAAGAACTGTTAGGAAATGAAAGCAGCTGCAAAGAAAGAAACAACTCTTTTTCTAGATGTATTCATTGGTTTTTGTCAAATCGACACAGCTAGAATCATCTAGAAGTAGAGAACCGCAATTGAGAAAATGCCTCCCCCAGACTGGTCTACAGGAAAGTCTTTGGTTCATTTTCTTGATTAATTATTGATGTGGGAGAGCCAAGCCCACTGTAGGTGATGCCACTCCTGGAATTGTCCTGGGTTCTATAAGAAAGAAGGCTACCGGGGCTAGGGATGGCAGTAAGTAGCATCTGCATCAGCTCCTGCCTCCAGGTCTGTGCCTTGACTCTCTATCCAGACTTTTTCAGTAATGTACTGTGAGATGAAATAAACCCTTTCTTCCTCAAGTTGTTTTAGATATTTATTGCAGCAATGGAAAACTAACTAGGTCACCAAAGAAAAGAATCATACTTAGTTTATTATATAGTATAGTATAGTGTAGTATTTCATACTGAATTTAAAAGAAAAGAAATTTTAAATACTAGACAAAAACATTTCAGATAAAAGGACAGGTGTTTGTTCACTGGTAAATGCATGAAAGGAATAAGAGTATTGGAAGTCATTTCGATAAGCATTCTGCCTTGGCTGTTTATAAGTTATCATCAAAAAAGTAGACAAGATTTAATGTGAATTTGTATTTTTCTCTCATTTTTTAATGTTTTTGAAAGTAAGTATTTTTATTAAAGAGTTTATGGCATCTAGTATATCTCCAAAACTGTTAAAATTGTGGACAACTGTAATTATTTCCCAATTTTTGGATAATAAGGAGCATTTCCTACAAAAGTAACATTCAGCTAAAAATTCTTAATTTAGAAAATTAAAAGAAAAACATTGTTTATCAGTTATTATTTTCTATCAGTCTCATAATACCTATTCCCTTAACTGTTTTAAGTAATTAATTTTAACTATACACATGTTTCTCAGCAGAGCCAGACTTAGAATTGACTTCGGAAGAAGAGCACAAAGGGCCTGCCAGAAATGAAGATAAGCAGTGTCAGGTGTGTGGTGGCTCACTCTTACCTGATAGCTAGCACTGTCTTCTCTGATTTGATTATGTTTGATAGAGTTTGGGGAATCCTGGAATGTTGGCTTCTCACATGACTCTAACGTTTCCCAAGCAGACACTTGGCACTTGATTCCAAAAGAGAACGCCAAAGTTCTGAGATACATTGGTTTGTAAAGATAAACACAAATCAAGAGATAAGTTCAAAAGTATTGGTAGGTGATGCTTCTTACCCAAAGAGGCATCAAATAACCTTGTAAAAGTCATACCTGCTAAGTTTTTCTGGTAAATCCAATCAAGTAATTTTTTGATCCAAACTTAATTGTATCATATGTTTTGATATCAAAAAAATGTTATGTTGAGCATAGAGACCTGGCTCAGTGCTTCAGAACACATCCAGCTCTTGCCGAGGACCCAGTCCAGCTTGGTTCCCAGCATCCACACTGGGCAGTTCACAACCACCCGTAACTTGCTCCTGGGATCATGCCCTCTCTTGGGCTCCTTAGCATCTGTATCCACATGCATCTTCCACACACAGGCACACATCTATGCAAAATCTTAAAATAATAAAAGTAAATCTTTTTAAAGTTAGGTAATAAAATATACCATGTCATGTAACTGTTGGGGGAGGCTGCTTGTCCATTTCCCAGACTCCCAGACTCCAGAAGTAATCACATAGAAACTAAATTATTTGCAATACTGTTTGGTCAATAGCTTAAACGTATTTCTAGCTAGCTCATATATCCTAAACTAACCCATCTCCATTAATCTGTGCATCACCACAAAGTCGTGGCCTACCAGCAAAATTTCGGCAGGCTCTGGTAGAGGCGTATGTCTCCTGTGGTGGCTACATGGCTTCTCCCTGACTCTGCCTACTCCCTCCTCCTCTATCTGCTAGGAACTCCCACCTTGCCCTATTTTGCTAAGTCACTGGCCGGAACAGCTGTATTCACTAACCAATAAAAGCAACGCATAGACAGAAGGACCTCCATGAAAACTTCGTCTGAAGAAGCATTGCTGATTGTGAAGGTGTGTCAGAAGAGGAAAGGTGGCGTCTGTGCCCCATGGCATGAAGAACTGCTTGGGCCCCTGATGGCAAAAATAGATTTACAGTTAGCCATATGTATGCAGATATTAAATACCAGAAAAATCAGTCCAGACAGAAAAGCTAAAATTCCACTTGAGCTGATTCTGCAGGGAGGTGACACAACTAACTTCCATTTTCCCAGCGGAAGCCCAGAGTGAAAGAGCAGATGCAGTGACGGACCACTTTCCGGAGCCAAGAGGGGTGCAAAAGAAGGACCCGAAGAGACAAGCAGGATGCTTCAAGAGAATGGTGTTTTATCTCAGCCCTTTGAAGACCTTGTGTGGGCCAGGTGATCAGTGCTGAGGAATTCTGGGCCCATTGTTTAATGTGAATGCAAAAGATAGTTCTACATCCAATCATAAGCTATTGGCGTTTCTGCTGCTTTCTGGAGGATGCCTGGACCCAAACAGATGGCTGTAATGATTGAGATAATTTAGTTTCTGGAGGATGCCTGGACCCAAACAGATGGCTGCAATGGTTGAGATCATTTAGTTTCTGATATCGAGTCAATATTTAGGGCCTACCAAAATGAAATATGCAGAAAAAATGTGCACCACAACGTGACAGAAAAGGAATCTGGACACACCTCTCCCAGTCCCATTATTTTCACAGGGACTGACTAATCACGGGGTCCAAGTGTCTTTACAGAGTGCGCCAAAACAGGTGAACAGCATTTAAAACAATGGTTTCATTCGGAGTAAGAAACCCAATGCTAGATTGGACGGCTTTGGAAGATAAACCACTAGTTTAAGTGCCCACAGGGGCCAGAAGAGGGCAACAGATCCCCTGGGAGGTGAAGGTAACAGACGTTCTGAGCTGCCCTCACAGTACTGGGAACCAAGCCTGCTCCCTCTGCGAGTGCTCTTAACCACTGAGCCCTGTCTCCAGGCCCTCTGCTTAGATATTTTACATGCAGAATGAAACAACAAACCTCTGGTTCCAGTCTTCAGAAACCTGTTTGTTCCTGGGTCTTCCTTGTTTTTATTTTAAAAACTTTGGCATTGACCTAGGTAGTGTCTTTGAGCCTCCTCCCCTCCTGTCAAGGCTGATCATTTCCCCCTCATAGCTCCTTTAAGTCTTAACCTGAATGAAACAGCTAATGGGATCTTACTAATTAATCAAATAATTACAAAGTTCTCGACATATGCCATGTGCTGGGGAAGGCCAGTGAACAAGAGTAGGCAAGCCACATGGAACCTACACTTGGTTGACAGAAGACTAATTGGCAGATGTTAAATGAATAAGGCAAAAGTAAAATCTTTCTGGAAGGTGCAATTGTGGAGCAAACAGAAAGGATGCTATGATAGATGAATTCCTGGGGCAGGGGTGCTGTAGTCAGGCCTTGGAAAGTTGGTCACCTGCCTAGACTCACAGTTGTAGAAAAGATAATGTATCCAAAAGTTAAATTTTTTAAAAAGCTACTTACACACAAGGCAGGTAATGCCCCTTAAGAGCACTGAGTGAATCACTCTGAGACTTTCTTGGCCATTCTCTTATTCAGAGAAGGCGGGAAAGGCTGGTGTGGATCATGGCTCCTATTGTTTGAGAGGCGCCTCGCTTTCCACAGTCCCATACTATCCACCCAGCACTTGTGTTCTACTACTTGAAACCAAGAGTCAGGTGATAAAAATAAACTAAAATAGTCAATACTAATTGTGGAAAAGTTAGCAGCTATCCTTTGTCTCAAGCCTTCGTTAAAGGTTGAAGAAGAAAGGAAGCAGGGATGGGACGGAGGGGAAGCGTCAGAGAGCCTGTGCGCTGCTGCTCTTGACCATGGTGGCTGTGGATCACCTCTAACAAGGAAGAATGGGACGTCTGGCTCCCAGCGGTCTCCTAGTGCCGACAGCGAAGAGCAGGATGGGTAAGAATGTGATGTTGCACAAGAGGACATTCTGTTTGTTCTATAAAATTATAATTTAGAATAACAAACTTTACTTCTACTTGAGATATTATAAAAAAATAAGTAATCATACAATTTTTCTGATCACATTGGTAAGTATTTTGTATAAAAATAATAACTAGAATTGGAAGATGTGTAAAAAAGGTAATAACACTGTCTCCAAATGAAATGGATAAGTAATTTTTGAAGGTAATATTCATTCGAGATTTCCTATATATCATATTTTTAATCTTAAAACTTGACTTTTTTAAAATTGAGACAAGGCCCATGCTGTAGCCCATGCTGACTTCTAATTTGCAGAAATTCTTGTGCATGACCTCCCAAGTTCTGTGATTACAAGTGTGAACTACCACACCCAGATTAACAATTCTACAGGAAAATGTGACCAGTGATCACACTCGTGCACACCATAAAGGACCAGCGAGAGAGCAGAAATCATTGTGGTTACTCTAAATTAAATACACACATCTAAAATTTAAAAGCTAATATTTACATATAAGAGTTACCAAGCCTGACCTACTTCGCTCAGGATAATTGTTTCTGGTTCCATCCATTTACCTGCAATTTTCATAATTTCATTTTTTAACAGTTGAGTAATATTCCATTGTGTAAATGTGCCATGTTTTCATTATTTATTCACCACTTGCTGGACATTCTGGCAGTTATGAATAGAGCAGCAATGACGATGAGTAGGATAGCATCTCTGTGGTAGGATGTAAGTCCTGCGGGTATATGCCCAAAGTGATGTAACTGGATCTTGAGGCAGGTTGATTTTCAGCCATTTGAGGAATGACCACACTGAGTTCCTTGGCTGCTGTACCAGCTGGCACTCTGGCCAGCAATGGATAAGTGTTCCTCTTTCTTCACATCCTCACCAACATCTGCTATTGTTTGTTTTGTTAATCTTGGCTATTATGACTTGGGTAAGATGAATCTTAAAATAGTTTTGATTTGCAATTTGAAATGTTTCTCATTTTGTGTTTCATCTTTTGAGAACTCTCCTTTTAGTTCTGTACCCATTTTTTAATTGTTTGTTTTCTTTATATTCAGGGGTTTTTTTTTAGATCTTTATATATTCTAGATACTAATCCTCTATATTGGAAAAGGTTTTGTCCACTCTATGAGTATATGAATATTTTAAAAGCAAAATTTTGCACAAGCTATTTCCCTCTTCTTTCATGTTAAACGTTTTATTTTGTTTTTTCTTTCTCCATTTTTGTCTATAGGGGAGGGATTGTACACGCATGTTTTGTACTTGTAGCACGTGTGTGGTGATACTTTTCTTACAAGTGTCTGTGCATAAGTATGGAAGCCAGAAATTGGTATCAGGAATCATCCTCACTTGGTAAACAATTAGGCAGTTCTCCCAGTCAAACCCAGAGCTCACGGATATGGCAGATATGGCTAGTCTAGTTTTCAAGACATCTTTCTCTGGGGCTTCCCTGCCTCCACCTCCTGCAGCTGGAATTACAGGCAGCCCTCCATGCCCACCTGGAATTACAGGTTCCAGGGATCTGAGCTGCATTCCTCGCACATGCTGGCAGGAGCTTGAACCTCTGGGCCACTTCCCAATTCCTCTTTCATGTAATTTTTAACGTCACTTAAATTAATCGTATTTTTTAAAAAATAAAACCAAAATTGTAGCCCCAGTCTAGTTATTTCTCCCATGCCCAAGGGTCATTGCTCGTAGGCCGGGAGGTCAGATGTTCACTGAAGTATTCAAGGTTGGTGTGGTGTTCATTTCTGGTTACTCACTTTTGTTCCACAAGTTTCCAGAAAATCACTAACTGCCAGTTTGCTTTTTTTCCCTTTTTCTTTTTTTTCTTTTCAAGTGTTCATAATTTTTATCAATTTTCTTTGTTTCTTTTTTATTTATTCATATATTACATCCCAACTACAGTTTCCCCTCCCTCCTCTCCTCCCAGTCTCTTCCCTCCCCCACCCTTCTTCCCCAGACCCATTCCTCCTCCATTTCTCTTTGGAAAAGAGCAGGCCTCCCAGGAATATCAACCAAACATGTATAATAAGTTACAATAAGACTAGGCACGGCCTCTCATATTAAGGTTGGATGAGGTAACCCAGTAGGAAGAAAGGGTCTCAAAAGCAGGGAAAAGAGTCAGAGACAGCCCCCACTCCCACCATTAGGAGTCCCATGAGAACACCACGCTGCAAAACCATAACATATATGCAGAGTGCCTAGTACAGACCCGTTCAGGTTCTATAACTGTCGTTTCAGTCTCTATGAACCCTGGTTAGTTAATTCTGTGGGTCATTTCCTTGTGGTGTCTTGACCCTTCTGACTCCTTCCTCCCACTCTTCCTCAGGTATCCCCAAGCTCTGCCTGAAGTTTGGCTGTGGGTCTCTACATCCTCTCCCATCAGTTTCTGGGTGAAGCCTCTGATGACAATTGGGCTGGGCTCCATCTTAGAAGAATATCATTAGGAATCATTTCATTGACTTTTTTTATGCCAATCATGTTTGGTTCTCTCCTTGGTCTCCAGGCTATCCAGACCCCTGGACCTCCAGGCAAAGTCAGACATGGGCTCCTTCTTAGAGCATGGGCCTCAAGTTGAACCAGTAACTAACTGGCCACTCCCACTATTGCTGTGCCACCTTTACCCCCAGCACATCTTGTAGGAAGGAGAGATTGTAGATCAAAGATTCTGTGACTGGGTTGATGTCCCAGTCCGTCCACTGGAAGGCTTACCTGGTTACAGAAGATGGTCAGCTCGGGTTCTGTATCCCCCTTACTAGGAGACTTCACTAGGGTCAGCCTCATAGATTCCAGGGAATTTCCATTGCACTAGGTTTCTACAAACACCCCCAATTCCAAACTGGGAGATCTACCCGTTCTTATCTTGGCATTTACATTCTATTTAAGAAGTGGTTTTCTCCCTCGTCTTTTCCTGCTGGGCTCTTCTGTAGTCTGTGTCTCCTGGAAACCCTTCTTTGCTCTCAGACCAGAGTTTTCCTGAGTCAGCTCTTGCATATAGTTCTGTCTGCACCAGGCCTGGCTGGCGTCTGTCTTTAAGCAAGAAGGATCCATTTCCTCATCTTCAGCTGCTACTTTATAACTTCTTTCCATTAGTAAGTAAAGTAGGATGAGAAGCGTTGGATTTTATAGCATCATTTTCATAATTTCAGTCCATAGAATTATTGGAATGTATTATCCTTTATGATTTTTTAATTAGTGATTCTGCCTTGAATATAAAAGAAGAAAAGAAAATAGGACATGAAAACTGGTCATCGGGAGACTTTGTGACTGAATTGACGGCTGGGGAGTCTGAGTTGGCGGCTCATCTCCTGAGAGTGAAGGATACTTGTGGTTTAAATGACAGCAGCCCTGATAAAGGAAGGTAAACACTGTAAACTCCCCATGAAGGGCGAGGGTAGCAGCGTTGTTGTTTTTTTCTGAAAATAGAGCAAGTTGATTTTCTGTTTATACTCAGATGCCTTAAAGAAAATGACTATAAACAGCCTGTAACCTCATGATGAGAAGGAATTAGTGACAACTGCAGAGACTTTATACAAAAAAAGACTTTTTGTATTTTGTCTGAAAGGATTCTATGTTCTTCTTTTTTCAGGTCTGCAAATCAAAAATCAAAGGAAAAGCACAAGGTACTGTAGAACTCAAACCCAGATTTTGGTAGTGGGAGCAAAGCACACCCACAGAGCCCTAGGCAGCCATCTACAATGGGCAGAGCCTACCGTCATCCCATCCTTCTGGGAGGAGCCACAGCTTCTGTCCACCAGCATCACTGTCACCTAGCAACCACCCAATGACACCCTCAGCACTGCCCACCTCAAACCTGGCTCCATGGGCACTCTGCGGGAGGCTGTTGCCTGGGTTGCTTCCCAGAGGCGATGCCCAGTTGTACAGGCAAGTACATAGCAAGGAAGACTTAGGAAACAACACAATGTGTAAGATAAGAATATAGTTTCACCAAGAGGAGTGACACCCAGGGAGATGTGTTCCGAGCACTAGGAAGAATCAGCCCAGGAAGGCGCTTTACTCTGTAGGAGAAAAGGGTCTGGAGGGAGCAAATTTTCCAGTTCAGGTGGAGATCCGACTGAGGAGAGTAGAAATGCCACAGACCTCAACCATTGCAGAGGTTCAGTCCCCAGGACAGGCAGAATCCACCAACAGTATGAACCAGAAGAGAGTGCGAACTGCTAAAGCCTGGCTGAGCAATGGCAGCAAAGGTTCCAGCCTCCCTGCATACAGTACCCGGTGGGCGCTGTCAGTGTTAACAGCCAGGTGCACAGAATGAGAGCCACCACATTCCTGCAGGGGTCTCCATTAGCTGAAGACAGCAGAGAGGAGGCCTAGGGAGAGGACAACAAAACCCAAGGACAGCAGCCACCTCAAAGCGGGTCCCTCTGTCACTTCAGTTACCAACTCAGGCGCCGGAAACCCCAGACTGCATAATGGGAGCGAGAAGAAACAGCAGTGGGGCCGAGTGAATGCTGCTTGGCCACGTCTGCTAGCACAGGGGTTAGTCAGCCTTCACTCCAGCACGCAGACAAACAAGATCAGACCTGATGACCTTGAGAGACTGTTCCTCACTCCTCTATCTGCTAGCTAAACCCCTGCGTTATCTATGCCATACATGGTTCTCAATCTGTAGTCTCAGACATACATTTAGTCCAAACACTCGGACACATAAAATTAAAATGAAGGAGGAAAAGGGTTAGAACCTTCTGCTTATGTAAAGACATTTGCTTAGAAAGAGCGATTAGAACCAGAGGCCAGTGATAAAACTACCCTTTGACAAAAACCAGTCCTTTTCAGAAGTGTCCACATTTCTGCTTAGCTAGTCTTTTTTGGCTGTATGCGGTATCACTATCTGAGGAAACTGTGATCTAGTGTAGTTGGTTCTACAGGTCAGAAGAGAAACAAATGCTATGGAAGACGCTGATGACCTCACTCAGCCATCTGAGTCGTGCTCAGAGGACGGTAAGTTGCCGGGCCCTCATTATCAAGGCACTGGGCTACTGTCCAAATAATTGTTTCCTTTTATTGAAAATAATGTTTCCTCACATAATGTATCCTGATTACACTTTCCCCTCCTTCTCCTCCTCCTAACTCCTCCCCACTTCCCATCCCATCCCAATCCACTCCTTTTCTGCCTTTCATTAGAAAACCAACATGCTCCTAAGGGATAACAATGAAATAAAATACAATAGTGTCCCAAGGTCTCTCGCTCTATCTATACACTTTGTCTGTCTGTAGGTCTCTATGTTCGTTCCCATCTTCTGCAGGAGGAAGCTTCTCTAATGATGGCTGAGACAGGAGTAAAACAAAATATTGTTAAGGAGTCATTATAATGTTACATCTTTTGTTTGTTTATTTGTTTGTTTTTAGAACGGTATTGTTTGGTTTTGCCCTAGATCCCTGGCTATCTAGTCTCAGGTTCTTACTCACCCAAGCAATGTCAAGTATGGGTTCCTACTCATGGAGTAGGCCTTAAGCCAAATCATATATTGGTTGGTAAATCACACAAGCTTTGTGCCTCCATTGCCCGAGTGTATCTTGCAGGCAGGACACCACCGTAGACCAAATGGTTTGTGCCTGGGTTAGTGTTTACATTTCTTCTCTTGTAGCCTGCAGTTTTACATTTCTTCTTTGATAGCCTTCATTGCTACTTTCCTGTACCAAAGATGCTAGAACAGAAGGCTGAAGGCTCTAGAGAGGCACCAGCTCAACATCTCCAAGTTCAATGAATTGTGTAGGTGTTATCTTTGGCATCGGAGCCTTACTTTCAGTCTGTGGAGAGCAACCTATAGTCCTGGCAATGGCCTGGATGTTTAGGGATTCTCATGGGCTCCTTATGATCAACAGCTCAATTAGATGGAACCCAAGCCTGGTACTAAAAGCTTCATTTGATGACAAGAGATGTCCAGTTGGGGCTCTGTCTCCCCTATCATTTGGTAATTTCATTTAGATCTCCTTCATATATGCGTATATTTAGGAAGCTTCTACTGTGTTGGGTTACTTTTAGGTGTCTCTCCCTGTATCCCTCCCTCGTCCTCCTTTTCCCTTCCCTCTCCACTTGTTCGTCTCATTCCAGTCCCTCACCCCCAACCAGAATTCATCCGTAACTACCTATTCTACTTCCCTATCTAAGAGAGACTATAAGCCTCAGGTCTAATAAGGCAGGAAGCAAAGAGGAAGGCGTACGTGGTGATCTGAATGAGAATGGTCCCAGAGGTCCAGGTATTTGGATCCTGGGTCCCCAGCTGATTCTGTTTGGGAATGATCAGGAGGTGCGGCCTTGTTAGAGGAAGGGTGTCATCGGGAGCAGGCTTTGAGGTTTCAAAAGCCATGCCGTTCTTAGTTAGCTTTCCCTCTATCCTATGCTTGTAGATCAGGGTGGAAGTTTCCAGCCACTGCCCCAGCACCATGGCTGCCCGCCTGCTGTCACACTCCCACTGTGATAGTCATGGACTCTAATCCTCTGAAACTGTGAGCCCCGAACAAACTCTCCACATCGCCTTGGTCATACGCCTTATCACAATGAAGAAAATTAACTAAAGCAACATTGAAGGTGTCCTCTGGCATCCGTTTCCTGTGCTGTTTGGGCAGTCCTGTTCCTACTGCTGAGTGGGAACATCAGAACTGTGCTGAGTCTAGAGTTTGCCCTCCACCTTGGGAAGACCACTGTTGGATGACCTGTGTGTTTGGCCTGCCTGTGTGGCAGGAAGAGACTGTCTTCCTGGCTCAGCATGAGCAGAGGACAATGCCCTGGCACATAGATACTGTTTTCTAGTCACAGTCAAAGAGGCTCTGAAGGTCTTCAGGTTATGCCCTGTGAGCCCTGCCCACTTGGCTGTTAACAGACCCCTCTTGATCGTTTCTCAGGCAGCCTTCCTGGGTCATGTTCCCTCTCTTTGTGTCACAGCCTAGAACTCTCTCAGGAAAGGCATCTGGAACATTTGAGAGACTGGCTTCATATAACACCAGACAAATCCTCATCTTCAAATTGCTCTTTCACGTGCTATATGTGTTTGGAGTTGCTCCAGGCGAAAACGAAGTCTGCACCTTTCACTCCACTGGGAATGGAGTCTCAGTAACGTCTGTGGTGCAGTGCGCTCTCCACCCTCTGCCTGATTGACCACTGTCTTCCCGCGTTCTCAGCCTAGCCGTCTCTTTCTCTGGACAGTATTCCAGAGCCCAGTGGAGATCAAGTGCCCTTAGCTGATAGCAGACACTTCTTACAGCATCCATCAGAATTTATATAATGGTTACTTTATTAATCTTTTCTTCTTCACTAGACTTTAATTTAAATAACAGCAGGATGCCTTCATTTTATCTGCAGACGGTAGTACCTCATGTTGTATGCTGTCGGCATCCAGTATGCATTTGTTCAGAATGAGTGAACACTACATATAGCCCTTTCCTGACAAAAGCATTCGTAGATTGTATTTCTGTACTGGTTCCTGTCTGACTCAGGGCCTTGGAATTGTGAGATTTAGTTCATTCATATAGGGAGTATTACACACAGAAGTTCTTGTAAAGCAGAAAAAAAATTTGCTCCCAATTTTTTTGCTATTAAAAGATCACAGTGAAGAACACTATTATGTGTAAATTTCACTCATAATCAGAACAATCAGAATTTCTTTATTAAAAGTAGAGAGAGGGGCTGGAAAGACGGTTAGGAGCACTGCCTATTCTAGCAGAGGACCTAGGTTTAGATGCCAGCGCCCACATGACAGCTCACACTTGTCTGTAACTGCAGCTCCAGTTCCAGGGGATCTGGCACCCCTTCTGTGGCTTCCTCTGGCACCAGATACTCAATATAAACATGCCCGGAAACATTCACACACATGAAATAAAAAGAAGCCTTATTTTAAAGAAAGAAAGTGAATAGGAATAGGACTAAAGTAGGGTTCCAACTTTTTGGGCCGAGGAGATGGCTCAGTGGGTGAAGGGCTTGCCGTGCAGGTATGAGGACTTGAGTTCGGATCTCTAATGCCTGTGGAAGGCTAGGTGTGGTAGTTTGTGTCTGGGGTGGGGGGGGGGAGGGTAGATGCCCCTGGGGTCTTGACTGGCCAGTCAGTGTAGCTGAAACAGTGAACCCCTGGCCCATGAGACATCCTGCCTCAAAAACCCAGCAAGTTCAACTGGGAAGGAAATTGACAATTCCCTTCAGAAACTGTAGTTTGTTAGAAGGAAGAGCCTCCAAGTTGACGAGAGAACAGTAGGCAAAAACAGTATAAATATATAGATATCTAAACACAGTCAGTCCTTAATGGGAAGGAGAAGCTTCCATTAACACCTGGAGTGAGAATACAGTGAGTCATGGTGGCGCCTGCATTTACCCCAGCACTTGGGAAGCAGAGGCGGGGGGATCTCTGAGTTTGAGGCTAGCCTGGACTACATGCTATTACTTACTCTGCCTTAAAAATACCAGAAGAGAGTAAGACTAGGGAGAGAAAGAGAGGGCTGTCGTGAGCAGTCTTCAGAGCACTTCCCTGAGCAAAATCCCAAGAACAAAGGAAGAATCAGACTTGGGTAATTCACAGGGGGGTTATCTGGCAGGAAGTCTCACAGCACTCAGTTCAGCTTGACGAAGAGCATGGAAGAGACTGGAAACAAGCGTTAAGAGGTGTCGAGCTCCTGCACAGACTGCTTAGTTGTACCCCAGAGAGAGCTGTGAAGAGCTGTGGTGGTTCTTCAGGCTCTGGGATTGGGCTTTTTATTTGCCTGTTTGTTTTTTTAAAAAAAGAGAAAGACGGGTGGAATTGGATGGGTGGGAAGACTGGGAGGATCTGGAAGAAGAAGGGGGAGGGGGAAACCGTGATCAGAATATATTGTATAAAAAAAAATCAATCTTCAATTTTAAAACAAAAATGACCACTGTCTATCTTACAGAGGCAGACTTGTATCCTAACAGACAGCAAACAGAAACTGAAAAGGAGCCCTGGAAGCTACTTAACAGGAAAACTGGAAACATGGAAAACAGAGAAGCTAAAGAAGAGGGGATGAAAACAGAGCCCGTGAGATCAAGGTTAGACCACAAAGGCCTAGAGAGGAAAAAGCCCTACAGTTCGAGGGTGATTGCTTTTGAGATAATGAAGACTTATTTTCTATGGCAGATGGTAGGGGAGGAGATCCATGGAACTGCTGGTTGTGTAACCACCCCCTCCGGGTTTTGTATAGGAGAAAACTTCCTTGTGAAGTGTGAAATCCTTTCAAATTCCCTAACAGGTCATTGCCCCTTCATATTTCCAACAATTGGGCGCACACTGTTGCAAGCCACAATCTTAACAGCTCTATAGTGGCCGACTGCATAGGAGTCTTGTTACTACTCAGCAGTAAGAAGCTGGCCGTCCTTTTCATGTCTTTTTTAAAGGAATGATGTAAAAGAAATTCAGTGTGAAAGAATTGATGGTATAAAGGATTTGTTGATAGATGTGCTGAGGAGACATTTAAAAGGGAGAGTTTAGCTAAGAGAGCACAACCTCCCCAAAATACCCCAAAGGTAAGTAGTCGGCAAACCAGTCCTGTTAGAGATAAACAACATTTATGATACTTGGATGTAAGGATTTGTTCACCGGGATTGACTAGTCTTTGGGCCCATTCCCTAGGAACAGGCTCAAGGGGGCCTTGTCGGGTCACAACCATCATCAAGTTCTGGTGTGCCTTGAAGTCCTTTGTGCTTTTATTAGGAAAAAATTTAATTCTACCACATAGCCAAGATGGGTAACAATGATTCAAAAAAGTACAATTCTGGTGTACATAAGAAATAACTCCAGCAATTGTTGATATGTAAACCTCCCATCTGCCCACATGGCCAGATTTGCAGTCACCTGGCTCTGTTGAAACTGTTCAGAGCATAGCCTAGGACCAGGACCTAAAGGAGACTTAAGGATGATAGAGAATGTGAAATGCATAAGCCCGTGGTGTATATTAGTTAGTGAAACCTTCTGCTTAAGGCCAGCTCTTCCTTGGACATCAACCAGAGCCAGACACACTCGTCCTTCATCACTAAGCGTATGGAGTGATTCCTCACTGAGAAAGCGTGCTGTTTCTAATACAGTGTGTGTGTGTGTGTGTGCATATATGTGTGTTGTTGTTTTCTGTGTTTTTAATGATTTTTTAAATACAGAATTATTGCCTTAAATAAATGACTTTAATTAATAAGTTGAGTGTGATAGCTCACACCTGTAATCTCATCCCTGAGGAGGCTGAGTCAGAAGCATAAAGGAAGCTGAAGGCCAACTTGGGCGACACAGTGTGAGCTCCACCCTGCTCTGCACGATAGAGTGAGACCCTGTCTCAAAAAATAAAAATAAATAGAAATGTAAAGATGATTTTGATCCATTTGCCTAAGTTGTTCTCACAGAAGCTGTATTAACCTACAGTCCCACCACAAATGTAAGAAGCAGTCATTTTCTCAACAGAAGTTTTAGGATCCATGCTTGCTTGCTTGTTTGTTTGTTTTTGGTGTTGGAGATTAAACTTCTTCTTTGTGAGGCCAGCCCATAAGGCTAAGTTACACCCAGCTATCTGTTTGCTCGCTCTCTCTCTCTCTCTCTCTCTCTCTCTCTCTCTCTCTCTCTCTCTCTCGCTTTCTCTCTCTGTGTGTGTGTATTTGCCTACATGTATGTATGTATACTACATATGCAGGCTGAGAGGCAGTTAGAGGGCACTGGATCCCCTGAAACTAAAATTATAGACAGTTGTGAGGAGCCATGTGGGTACTGGCAACCTAACCCAGATCCTCTGCAAGAGGCCAGTATTCCTAACCACTGAGCCGTCTCTCCAGACCCAACACCTTTGTTCTGAACCTGTGCTAAATTAGAGTAGATGACTATTAATTTATTCAAAACCTCTCTCTCATTGATAAAGTAAATTCTATTTTCTATATTGAAAGAATGGGGTACTTTTTATTATCGAATCAATTGATCTTGTATTGATTTTTAAATTGCTTATCAAAATAATAGTAAGATGAATCAAACGCATTAGTAAAAGGTAAAATGGACTCCCTAGTCTTGCCTTAGAAATCTCGTAATGTGCATACCCTCATTGTTTGAAAGCTCTGGAATGGCTCTTTTATGTTGTAGATCGTATGAGGGGTGCACGTAATGTTTTTTCAAAAATAAAATTTTGTTTCTAGCTGACTCACATGCTTGTTTGCAAGCAATAGTTTTTAGGGATTAACTTTCCATTGCCTGTTTTTATTAGGGGACTATGTAGAAAATGGTGTCAAATTATGTACAAACAGTCATGTTCCACTTGTCAAATTGTTGGATAGTTTCAAGATGGCTTTTTCAAAATAACTACCAAAGTTTCTCTTAACAGAAACTTATCCATCAAGAAAACATTCATTCAATATTACTTTCCCAGTATATACAATTTCTAGAAAAGAGTAAAGTGAGAAATTGAAAACATGGGATCTAGAAAAAATATTGAAACATAGATACTAGGATAATATCTTGCTAGAATAATAAAAAAGGAAGGTCAGGCTGTGGAAATTTTGTCTTTGAAAAGATGAATTTTAAGTTAAGTATATTTAATCACAGAGTTGCATTAAAACACAAAGAGAAGAAGAAGGAGAATAAAGGAGTGAAGACCGAGTTACCAGGGAAAGATGGACTTTCTACCGAAGACGCTGAAGACCAGCAATATGCCATGGCTCTGGGGAGCCTGCACATGAGAGCAAAGCAGACCTTGAGTCAGGTAAATTAATTGCTTACTAGTAATTATGCTTAATGCATATGACTTTATTTTATCAATATTAGTTATACTATCACTAATTAAAAAGCATATATGTGTGTATCATTAGGCAGTATAACCTGCATGACTACCATTGTGTGTTTGATCCACTATTGACCAAATATCATCACGAGGTCCATAGCTCTATTACGTATGTGTTTAACAAAATGTTATTTCAGGATCTGGGTGGATGGCTCAGTGGCCATCCAAAGGACCAAAGTTCAGTTCCTGGCACTCATGTTGGCCATTTGAAAACCGCATATAACTCCAGCTGCGGGGCATCTGGGACCCTCCTCTTGCTTCCAGGGACCCCTGCACATGCGTGGCATACACACACAGGCACATAAACTTGTTTTAATTGAAATCTAAGGGAAATGGAATAATGGCAGTTATAGCCAAACAGCTGCAGTAAACCCTGGAGGAATGGATGAGGAGGCTTATCATGTGCTGTCATAAATGTTAACTGGGGCACTTTCTATGCCAAAACGCGGGCTCGTGAGCTTTACAAGTGTAAAGAGACTTGTTCTGTGCTTCACAAAGAAATTCCCTTCACAGTCGTGTCTGTGCCTTGCTCTGTGACAAGGTTCCCATGTGGAGTGAGTCTTTCCCTGGGCATTAGCCAGCTTCCTTTGCATAGATTTTTGAAAGTTCTGCATTTAATTAAGCTTTCAGGCTTTTTGCCACCAATGATGTGGGCTTAAACCTTCATGAAGCGTACCTTTAACTATGAAGAAGAAAACAGCACTGACTGGCAACTCACAGAGAACCAAATACCAGACTCTTACAAGGTTGCACTTTGCAAAATCACCATGGCAAGCAAAAGTTAAATGCACAAGAGAAAAACCAGAGTGCAGACACTTTTTGTCAGTCATTTGCAGCTGACTGATGTGTTGATACGTGAATGTGCACATGTTTTAGAAAGGAAGCTACATGTGTGGTGAAAAACAAAGAGAATTGTTAGATTTTCATCTTTATTTTTATTTTATGTGTATGAGTGTTTTTGCTTGTGTGTGTGTGTGTGTGTGTGTGTGTGTGTGTGTGTGTGTGTGTGTCTCCTACATGCATGCCTGGTGCCCACAGAGGCCATAAAAGAGTATTGAATACTGTTGCTATTACAGATGGTTGGGAGCCACTGTGTGGGTGCTGGGAACCGAAACTAGATCCTCTGGAAGAGCAGCAAGTGCTCGTAACCACTGAGCCATCTCTGCAGCCAGCTGTGGGCATATGTAAACCATTTGGGGATGCTAGAAGCACGCTTTTCCCATTGAACAAGCTGATAGTCTTCAGTGCCCAGTCTGCAGCAGTTGAATAGTAACATCCGTGAGAGCCTTGCCAAGCAAAGGCTTTAATGTTTTTCAGAGGAGCTGATTTCCCATGACTGCAAACCCCTTGCCGCCAATGATGGATTTCCTAGTTTGTGACAGCAATCCCACTCCCTTGACATGTTCATCTGGAAGGATGCTTCCTACTTTGCTACTGCAACTGCTAAGGAAAGGGGACATATACAGTCGTCAGCAGACACCCTGTTTTCAATTCATCGACTCCTTTACAGAGAACTAATTCCTATTTCAAAACAAGGGGTTTCTGAAAACAACACTGCATCCGATACGCGTGCAGCGCCACGCTCCACAATGAAGGTATTCTGATCCCAGAGTTCTGTGTCCACTGCACAGAGATACCCCGTCTCTCAGAAAATGAAGTTGGGACCGGAGAGATGATTCAGTGGTTAAGAACGCTTGATGTTCTTACAGAAGATCCAAGTTCAGCTGGTCATGGTGGTGCATGCCTTTAATCCCAGCACTCTGGAGGTGGAGGCAGATGGATCTCTGAATTCAAAGTCAGCCTGGTCTACAGAGTGAGTTTCAGGACACTGAGAAACTGTCTCAAAAAAAAAAAAAAAAAAAAAAAAAAAAACCACAGAGAGAGAAAAGAAACAGAAAAAGTAGACGACCCAGGTTCAACTCCCAGCACCCACAACTATCTCTAACTCCAGGTCCAGGAGATACAGTGCCCTCTTCTGGCCTCCATGGGCACCAGGCACAGATACATGCAGCAAAAACAGTAGCAGAAGGAGAGAGAGCACGAGCAAGGAACTCAGGACCGCGAGGGGTGCACCCACACACTGAGACAATGGGGATGTTCTATCGGGAACTCACCAAGACCAGCTGGCCTGGGTCTGAAAAAGCCTTGGATAAAACCGGACTCGCTGAACATAGCGGACAATGAGGACTACTGAGAAGTCAAGAACAATGGCAATGGGTTTTTGATCCTACTGCACATACTGGCTTTGTGGGAGCCTAGGCAGTTTGGATGTTCACCTTACTAGACCTGGATGGAGGTGGGTGGTCCTTGGACTTCCCACAGGGCAGGGAACCCTGATCGCTCTTTGGGCTGATGAGGGAGGGGGGACTTGATTGGAGGAGGGGGAGGGAAATGGGAGGCCGTGGCGGGGAAGAGACAGAAATCTTTAATAAATAAATAAATTTAAAAAATTTAAAAAAAGAAAATTTGTAGACATTTTTTTCCATTTTAGACCTAGTGACAAAGCATAGAAATACATTACATATATACCATGTATCCAAAAATAGAGAAGAAAGTCTTCTTGTTCCTGTCACTGTTTTTATAGGGAGTTTATGATGAGATACAATGGCCACCATGCAATTTATGGAAACCATTTCAAGGGCAAATTCAAGGTCTCTTAGCATAATCGCAGATCCATGTAATGGTCACTCTATCAATTTCAGAATATTTTCATCACCTTAAAAAATAACTTCAAATCCCCTACCTGTCAACCTCTCCCTAGGTCTTTTTTCTTTCCCAGTCTTTTCCCACAAGTCTAAATTGTTGGCTTTATAATTTTCCCCATTCTTCTAGAAGTTTCCTAGAAATATTCAGTCTTTCTTGAGAGTTTCTATCACATGGTGTTTTCAGATTCATAACTGTTACATAAAAACTCCTTTCTTCCTGTTGTTAACTGGTATTCTGTCACATGGCTGCCCCACGTTCTCACTCGCCAGCTGAAGGGTTTTGGGGCCACGGTCACTTCTTGCCTCTATTTGTAATGCTGAAATGATTTTGTGGGCATATTTTTATTTCTTTGCTACTGTATTTTACCCTTTAAGTTGAGCGTGCTGATTTCACCGTCTCTTGGCTTTTAATCATAATTCTTCTCTTTCCAGATTTTTTTTCATTTGTAATCATTTATTCAGAGTAGACTCACAGCTTACTATTTTGTGAAGATTCTTCCAAGTCTTTACCTTGTGTGTACAGAACAATGAAGTCATTCATTTTGTGTGCTTTCTTCATTTGGTCTTATTTCACTTTGTTTTGTGCCTCGATCTTGTCAAAATATAAAACTGCCTAGGGAAAGGTAATGTTTGATAAGGATACCGCTTTTCCACGTAAACATTAAAATGTTTTTGCTGAACAGTTGGTAGAGCTTGGTGGGCACTTGCCTAACATGTGAGGCCCTGGACTCCATCCCCAGTACTGAAAAGACAAAACACAGCAAACAAAAAAATGCTTGTTCGGATAAAATTAAGTACTTCATACAATACTCATAATTTCCAAAACTGACATAAGAAGAGTTTTCATCTAAATATATGTTAAAAGCTTAAACATAAAACTCCATCTACTTTTCTTACAATGGAAAAAGTGAGATTTTTCTACCTTTATAGCGGAGGCTGACCTGTGGTTTAGATTTGTAGTGAGTCATCAACAGAGAGGTTCTCATCAAAGCTCTTTTGATGCGCCATGTCATGCACGTTACCCTTAGTAACCACCCTCCCGTTCATCAGAGTGCTGGCTGACACAGAGAAAGGGAATCTTTATTCACAGTTAGGTTCGCCTCCTACAACAGGAGGCTTCTGTGAACATGCCACCTGCCTGCAAGATAGGACGGTGTGAGAACAGCAGGTGCGATGGCAGCGGCAGATGCTGTCTATGACTCCCGATGTCTTTCCAGTTCTTCTAATTACTTTATGCTTATTTTCCAATCTAATCAGCCATAAAGTCTGGTGTTCGATGTTGTAATTGCCTCTCTTCTACTGATGAGATAGCCAAGGTCCAGAAAACTAGTTTAAGACAATAGCTATTAGAACAGGAGCTTGGGCTTCAGACACAAGCGTTCTCACTTAGAAGCATCTCACTTAGAAGCTGCCTCCCACACTTTCCTTTAGCATTCTGTTCCTATGCTGGAGTATTTTGTTACTTTGTAATCATTGCTTGCATAGCTCTAGTGGTTTGTCTACATGAATTTTTAAAATTATACTTGAGTTGGCACTTTGAACATGTAAACATTCACTATAATAGGATTTCAACTTTTTTCTCATTTGCCAACTTTATCAATTTGAGTATCTGAGAAAATACGATTTCAAAATAAGCATACCATATTTCAGTCAGTCACAGGACAGGTCATTGACTCAGATCATAGTGCTTTAGATTTGTGGGGATAAAATCCCTTCTGCAATAACTCAGTAAACTCCACGGTGAGAGCACAAAAGTCCCCTTAGTGTGCAGATACAGGGATTATGAGCAGATACATGCTCATAAGATCCTAGCATGAGGAGGCTAGAGAGACAGTCCAGCAGTTAAGAACACTTGCTTCTCTTGCAGAGCGTCTGGGTTCTGTTCCCAGAATCCACACAGGGCAGCTCACACTGCCCGTGACTTCCTCTAGCTCCAGGGGATCCTATGCCCACTTCTGGCTTCTACAGGCATCTTCATGTTTGTGGTGCATCTACACACATTGAAGCACATATACATATACATATGAAATAAATATTTTAAAGTAATTTTAGTGTGGAAACATGTGATAGGGAGATTTGTACTAGAACAGTAGTAAAGTTTTCTTTTTAATCCTTTGTTTTAGTTGCAAGAGGCACAGGATCGACAAAGAGAAGTCATACAGAGTTCTCAGAAGACGCAGGATCACTTGCAGAAGTATGATTCAAAAGAGCATACAATTAACCTGAGTATTTACAAAGCAAATTATCAGTACAATGTGAAAATCATGTCGGTTACAATAAGGATAGCTCTGTGAAGACCAAGGGACATCTCAGCTTTGTGTTCCTTAGGTCTAGGGACACAGCTCAGTGGGATGAATAGGGCTTGCTTTGTATGCCCACGGCCCTGAGTTCCATCACCACACTGGGAAGAAAAACCTTTGTGATATTTGTTCATTTACCTAAAATTTACACATTCTCTGTAAAATACAACTAGAAAATGAAACGCTATCTACTTTTCAATTTTTTAAGAATTTAAGTCCTTTGTCATTAAGCAATGTTGTAAAAAAATTCATATGAAAGAATAATTGTTTATAAAACACATTTTAGGTTTCAAGCTAAATGTTCTGAGGCAGAAGTTACAATACAAGAACAAGGAAAGAAAATTGCAGAGCTTCAGGAGCTATGGGCAAGCTTGGTGAGTCGGGTCCTTGCTCACCTCTGTCCCATGTTTTCCTAAAAGGAGCATTGCAGGAAATGTGAACAGCCCACTGACACAAATATTTAATGTATTCACATTGATGCCACTTCCCGCTGTTGGTGAGCATCCTCTTTGCTTTATAGGAGGTGTGACTGAATGAATGGGATAATGATTTTTGATAACCTGTCTTAAGGCATAGTTTTTTGTTGTTGTTGTTTTGTTTTGTTTTGTTTTTGTTGTTATTGTTGAGACAGGGTTTCTCTATGCAGTCCTGGATATCCTAGGACTCACCCCTGTAGACCAGGCCAACCTCAAACTCAGAGATCCACCTGCCTCTACCTCCAAAGTGCTAGGATTAAAGGCGTGCACCAACACTGCCCAGCAATAAGTAATATTTTAAGAAAGAATAGTTCATATCAAGTTTTATAGGTAGTTTTTATATTTTTTCCAAAGACGAGAAACAAAGAGGAACAGCTAAAGAAACTCAACAAAATCATACTATGTCTGAAGTGTTCTTTGGACCAAAAGAAGAGTAAAAATGAAGAATTGGAGAGGGAGTTCACTGAGTAAGATTTTAATATTTCAAATCTCTTTACTCACGTACTTACTTAGCTGATTTTATTAGCACCTAAATATGAATTCATTTTATAACTGTTTTAACAGCCAAAAGTTATTGTTTTTTTTAATTTACTTCAAAAACTCATGAATCAATCTGAAAATTTGGATGCTAAAATATATTTACTTTCTAGTGATCCTGAAAGCAATCAATAATGGAGATGCCTTGGTTATGGCTCTATACATTTCTTCATCTACCTTCATTTTTTCTTTTTCTTTCTATTTTTTTTTTGTTCTTTGAGTTTTCCTAGATTATTTTAATATTTACCCTCCCTCCTCCCCCCAGATCCAGCCTCTCCTTCCCCACACACTCAACTTTGTACCTTCCTTTTTCACCATCAATTCTAATCCATGCTGCTCATAGACTCCTGACTGTGGCCTCCGGCCGGCATGTGTTTGACTTCCAGCATCCACACTTTCAGAGAACTCTGACTCTTGTATCCCAGCAGCTATTGATTGCCCTGCTCCAGAGAGGGGCGGCTTCATGTCCACCACCTCCCCTTTCCCTTGCTGAGACAGGTTTGGCTTGATTTGGTTTTTATTTTCTTTCTGCTTTTTTTTCAACAATGATATTTACAGACACATTATTTTTCCGTGGGTGTCACCCATTTTTACATGAAGTATACATGTTGCTAAACTTGTCTGTTACATATCTACATATATAAATATCTGTATGTGTCTGTATATGCATACAAACAACTAAAATACTGTCACACCTAGTATCTGCAGAAGTTTGGTTTTAAGACCCTCCTCAAATACCAAAGTCTATGGATAATCAACTCTTGTATGCTTATAGCTCACACATACCCAAATATTTCTTCTTTACCTTGATTACTGATCTATGGGTTATTCCTAATTGTTAATAATTAGTTAATGCAAAAAAAATAATTAGTTAATGCTTCATACTATAATACTAAACTAAATGGTTAAAACAATTCGGTATATGGTTATAGTTTTCATTCTTTATCTGACATAAAAACCGTAAGCTTTTCTTTATATTCTTTACCTAATATTTCATTAAAGTACTTTCAATAATTTTAAGTTGAAACTAATGAGAGTTCATAATGTGTAGTTTCATTTTAAAAGAAATAATGTATGTAAGAACATGATAGCTCATACAATCCATTTGAAAAATTGTTAAGCATTTACTATTTACAAGACTTCCCATACTGACTCTATACACTTTTGCAGAATAAAGAAACACTTAGAAATAATGAAAAGAAAATTGAATGATCATGAAAATGGAGAATTTAGTTGCCATGGAGATTTAAAAGTTAAAGAACTTGAAGTGAATATTTCAGTGGATGTGTTAAAAAATGAGGTAATTTTATTTGTTTAGAGACCAAAAATATAAGTCCTCAAATGTTCACACTTGGTGCCCATGAAAATTAGTTATTTTCCATTGAAATGGTGTTCTGTTGAATACAAGCTGGTACGTGAAGCCAAGCAGTACACACCCTCACAAGCCACTAAATCACGAATAGCATCAATTTTATTTGGTTATTTTATGTATGTTACATGGGATGATCACAGAAAAGGTCACTCCAAGATGCAATCCAGGCCCTGTGGCAGCAGAGAGGAACAGTTTCAAGGAACTGAACCTCAACAGCTGTACGAAAGCGAATTTATTGGTTGTTACACAAGAGTTGTTTTGGGGGTGAGGCAAGTTCCTCATTCCAAAGCCCCTGATCTGATCTTCGTGTTTGTGAAGGAAAACATCACAGCCCTGCCACTTTAGTCCTTCTGGTGGACTGTTTGCAGTACCCAATAATGCAAAACGCTCCAAGTGTCCCAGGATTGCCATGTGACTAAAGTCACACAAAGGCTGGGAAGGCATGCTCATTCATGACACCTCTAGTTTTAAATCGTGTTTTCTTTTATTTGTAGGAGTCCTTTATTCTGGCTATGAATCCCTTATCAAGGGTCTGATTTTCAAGTGCTTTCTTAGCTATGCATAAATGACAGCCCTCATCTGACATACCTCATCTGAGCTCCCAGCTTCCACATCCTCTTTGACGCTGACATGGCATGTAATCAAGCGTTTTTAAACACATTTCTCACATGCAGGAACACAGATTCCTTTCTTTAAGACATTCGTGTTGGGTTTTCTGAATAGAGGTCTCATATTTTAGAAGGAAAAACAAAGTATGGATTTTTTTTATGTGTATGGATATTTTGCCAACATGTCTGTCTGTGCACCGCTTGTGCACCTGGTGACTTTGGAAACCAGGAAAGGGCATCAGCCCCCCTGGAGCTGGAGTTACAGAAGCTTGTGAGCCAGCATAGAAGTGGTGCAAATTGAACTCTGATCCCTGGGAAGAGCAGCCAGCGCTCATAACCCTGAGCCATCTCTCCAGTCCTACCCTTCACTTTCTTCGTGGTAGCTTTTCAACCACAATTCTAGTTGCTGAAGCCTACTTTATCTGTTTCTGCTTTTGGTGAATTACAGACATAAATATCAGCTCCAGTCATGATGGTTTTGACAATGTGCTCAGAAGCACACTGAGAAAGATTAAACGACTGCATAATGCTATTAAATTAAGCCATTCTTGTTTACAAACGGATGGGTCCAATCACTAGATTTTGGTACTAGGAGATTCTTTCAAAGGCCTTCCTGGAAATCAGTACTTCTTGTAATGTGGCTGTGATATTCTGGAGAGAATGGCCTCTGTGGGCTCAGATATTTAAATGTTTGCTTCCCAGCTTGGGTGGAACAGCTTGGGAAGGATTAGGAGGTGTGGCCCTGTTGGAGGTAGTGTGTCACCTGAGGTAAACTTGGAGGTTTTGTTCCCAGTCTGCTGCCAGACTCTCCACCATGATGGCCATGGACTCACCCTCTGGAATTGCAGCAAGCCCCCAAAGAAATGCTTTCTTTGGTAAATTACCTCTGTCACAATGTCTCTTCACAGCAGTGAAAACATTAAGACAAGCTGGATGGTGGTGGCACACGCCTTTAATCCCAGCACTTGGGAGGCAGAGGCAGGCAGATCTCTGTGAGTTCGAGACCAGCCTGGTCTACAAGAGCTAGTTCCAGGACAGGCTCCAAAACCACAGAGAAACCCTGTCTCGAAAAAAAAAAAAAAAAAAATAAGACGGCCATTCAAATGAGCACAACATCCCCAACTCAGAAAAAGATGTGCAACTTTGGACTCCACATTTATCAGATTAATTAATTACAGTCTAATTTCCAGACTCTTATTCTGGGAATCTTTGGGATTTTTTTCCTGCTGTTGTTGTTTAGTTTTTTGTTCTTGTTGTTGTTTTGTTTTGTTTTTCAAGACAGCGTTTGTCTGTGTAGCCCTGGCTGGCCTGGAACTAGCTCTGTAGATCAGGCTGGGCTCCAGCTCAAGAGATCTGCCTGCTTCTGCCTCCTGAGTGCTAGGATAAAAGGTGTACACCACCACTGCCTGGTTTGGAAGTCTCTTATTAATGCAAACCTAAACAACTGAAAACTGGTGTCCCTAAAACTTCCTCATAAATTATAGGCATCAAAGATGGAAGAGGAGCCCAGCGGTGGTGGTGCACACCTTTAATCCCAGCACTCGGGAGGCAGAGGCAGGCGGATCTCTGTGAGTTTGAGACCAGCCTGGTCTACAAGAGCTAGTTCCAGGACAGGCTCCAAAACCACAGAGAAACCCTGTCTTGAAAAACCAAAAAAAAAAAAAAAAAGGGATGGAAGAGGGAAGAGGGAAAGATTCTTTACTAAGAGGCAATTTTATGAAGCAAAGAAGTGAGACAAATCAGAAGGAAAAAAAGCTTGAGGTCCAGTATAGATATCTTGTGACAAAGATGAGTATTTTTTGTGAAACGCATCATGGAAGAGGGAGGAGAACACAAACATTCACTCCTAGCTGAGAAGCTATTGGCATTTGATAGCTGCTGAGAAAAAGAGAGTCAATTTTCTTCCTTTCTTTCTACTTTTAAAGATTTCATTTACTTAATATTATGTGCATGAATGTTTTACCTGAATGTATGTATGTGTACCACATGCATGCCTAGTGCCTACACAGGTCAGAGGTGATCAGATCCCTGGAACTGGAATTACTGATGATTGTGAGTCACCAGATAGGTGCTAGGAACCAAACTCAGATCATCTGTAAGAGCAACGAGTTCTCTTAACCACCGAACTTTCTGTCCAGCCTACGAGTCAGTTTTCTTTGATGGTGTGACCCCTCACATATTGACCATGCCCCAGTGCAGGATCCACATTCAAGAGAAGTTGGCCAACACAAACTGGACTTAATGGATTTAAGAGGCAGAGAGAGAGAGAGAATGAGACAGAGAATGTGTGTGTGTGTGTGTGTGAGAGAGAGAGAGAGAGAGAGAGAGAGAGAGAGAGAGAGAGAGAGAGAGAAAGAGAAAGAGAGAGAACACCAAGTTGTCTGGGTAGGAAGGTGGGGGTGGATCTGCGAGGACCTGGAGAGAAGTAAAGTATATATCCTCAAAATACACTGCATGAATTTCTCAAAGAATTAATAGAAGCATTATTTTTTACAGCATACTTTTGTGATTCTTTGTGACTTTCACTCTGTTGATTTTGTACGAACTTCAATGGATTACATTCTAACTCTGCTATTGACTATAATGTATTGCAACTGAGTCAGAGTTTCTCTTATTTTTCTATTATTATGCTTTTCTAACCTAAATTCTCTTTATACCACTCTATATGACTCTTTTTATTTGTGTAGATCCATGAATTGAAAGAAAAGTGGGGAACTATAAATGCCAAATATCTACCTCTGAATGTACAATTTAAATACATTGAGCAGGAGTTGTTATCAATAAAAATAGCACAAAAGCAATACGAGAGGCTCCACAAGGATCAGAAGGTTCTGGAAAGAGAAGTGCTAGACCTGCAGCATCAGCTACGAGAGAACATGGTAGGTCAGTGTGAGGAGAAAATAGTGCAATGGGGGAGGGGGCTGAAGGGAGGAAGTCATCATTTAGAAGACATATGAGACAGGAAAACACTTTTGCAGCATAACTGATGGGTGTGTCCTCTGGGTGTCTCATCACAGATGGTGTTGGAGATTTTCAGAAGGCAGGTAACATCAGTTAATTATGGATGGAAGTTTCTTTCCTGCCTGGTCCCACAGCCATTCAGTCCCAAATAAACACACAGAGGCTTATATTAATTATAAACTGTTTGGCATATTGCTCAGGCTTATTACTAACTAGCTCTTATAACTTAAATTAGCCCATAATTCTAATCTATGTTTAGCCATATGGCTTGGTACCTTTTCTCAGTAAGACATTCTCATTTTGCTTCCTCTGTGGCTGGCTGGTGACTGACTCTCTGCCTTTCCTCCTCCCAGAATTCTAGTCTAATTATCCTACCTATACTTCCTGCCTGGCTACTGACCAATCAGTTATTTACTAAACCAATACGAGTGACAAATCTTTACAGTGTACGAGAACAATATCCCACAGCAGTTATTTTTTTAATTACTTCAGTTTCCATCATTAAAAAATGCAATTGATATCTCAGAATAATCATTTTCAACTTTTTCGGCAGTTTAGCATAAAACAAGACCACCAGAAGGGAAAGTGAAACTGGGATATAGAACTTTCGCCATGCTTCTGAATTGTTCTTAAATTACATTACACTGTTCAGGGTTTTTGGAAAGTTGAGTCAATTCTATTCTGTGAACTGATTATATAAGGGCAAGTCTGCGAATAATTCAGAATCAAGACTCATAGCTCAGAAACAGCAGGAGGCCCTGGGTTCATGATCCGATCAGACCAAACAAGGTTCAGTATCATGTTATGATTGACTTTAATGGAGTTAGTATTGATATTTTTAACTCTGGCATCTTATTTCACATATTTAAAATTACTCTGGGAATCAATTACTCAAAACTAAAGCAAGAACAGCAAGTATTTTGAGTGTTTAGTGTAATTGTTTTAAAAGTATATCCTTTCAATTTTCCATAGGCAAAATCAGAAGATAAAAAACATGAACTAGCACTAAGAGACAGTAATAATGATTCGGTAATGAGCCAAATGGAACTCAGGCTGAAAAATCTTGAATCCGAGCTTGAGAAAATGGAGGCTGAAGGAGAGTCTAACGCAAGAAAGGCAGAGAAATACAGGCAATGCTGTGTCAAAGAAAGGGAGCTCAGCAAGATATTATCAGGGAAGCTCAGCAAGTAAGCCGGGAAAGACTCACTAGTCTCTAGTGTGTGATTTTCACGGAAACAGACTTGTAAGATTAAGTAGGATATGTAAGCAAGCTGAAAATTATAACTGGAAAATAATGTTAGGAAATGGACCTACACTTACAGTGTGGCTGCAGAACACTTCCCCCCTTTTAACTTTTAGTTGTATATGTTGTTCCCTCCTAGTGATAAATTGGTCTTTCAGCTAATTAAGGCAGTTATAGTGTCAGAAAATTATGCTAACATTCTCTCAGATAGAAACATTAACAATTTAACTACTTTAATACGCCCAAAGGGCCCACAGCAATGACACTGCCCCTCCAGGCACACACACTGAGTCCATCGTGTCTCTGGTGTCACCGTTAGAGCTACCTGTTGGCACACTTTACAGCTGTTCTGCTGTACATCCAGACAGAGTCCTAGGGGAGGGCTAACCCAGTGATGGACAAAATACCGTTCACAATGTAGTTAAACATAACCCCTGGGCCAGTGTCATCTCTGAGATGACTTAAGATGCTAACTGCTCCAGGAACCACTCATTTTGTTTTCTTAAATCCTCGGGAGAACCACCTTCCATCCCAGAGGCTGCTCCTCTAAATTTCCCTCTGTACAAAATGCTTAATTTTTCCCAAGTTATGGGTGAATTGTAGACAGCGAGGGCAAAAACTTGAAAATCTGTTCATCTAATTACTCTTGAACCCAAAGCTGCTTTACTGGGCACAACAATCTCTAACTAGTTTATGAGTTTACTTTTTAAATTGTGTACATTTTGTACATTTGTATACATTTGTTGCAGATCACCACGCAACTGTTTGTTGTGGTTTCTGGTGCAATTGTTAGTCTAGTCCGTGAGACAGGCACCCCTCCTAGCAGTGAGGGTTTCCTTCCAGACCCCAGATTAGGCACAAACCACACCTAAACATGTGTTTTCACAGAGAGATCCTTTCTTAGCTGGGAAAAAAAAGTTCAAGTACCTGCTTCTGACTCAGCAGAAAACAGCAGCAAATGACCTTGCAGGTGTTATTTGTTTATTTGTTTATTGGCTTTTCGAGACAGTGTTTCCCTTATAGCTTTGGAGCCTATCCTGGAACTAGCTCTTGTAGACCAGGTTGGCCTCAAACACATAGAGATCCACCTGCCTCTGCCTCCCAGTGCTGGGATTAAAGGCGTGTATCACCACCACCCATCTGTAGGTGTAATTTTTAAGAGGAGTAAAAAGGAAGGTCTTTGTTAGAATGGGCTAGGATGTGGTGGGATATTTAGATTGGGCATGTTAGTTAGGTAAACCAAAGAGGACTTTTGATCGCTGGACTTTGGTGGTACTCATCCTCAGGAATGTATCCAAATAAGGGAACAGACCTTGATAGTTAACTTTAGGGACGTAATCTAACAGTTTTTAGCAAGGCAGAGGAAATGTAGGAGAAGAGCAAGGGCTGGCAGAGTCACATATTCAAGTGGACTACTGTCCCTTCAGTCAAGAACATGAGCATAGCAGCATCTCGTCATTAGCAGGTATTCATCTCTCTCTCCTACTCTGGATTTACTTGTTAGCTTGGGAATAGATGTACTTCTTTAGGACAAATCTAAGTGCCCAAGGTGTACTCCAACACATTTTCAGCTTTAAGACATTAGCAAGTGGAAATATGAAGTACTTTCTAAAGAACACACTCATTAAGGGAACAAGAGCATAAGAATTTGCCCTTGTTCAATCTCCACAGGACTAACGGCAAACTGAGTAAAGTCAGAACAGACATTCTGCTGGCGACAGAACGGAACAGAACTATGCAGAGTGCGCTCAGTATGAGACCTGTCCCCAAATGTCCTGGTGTCACAAAATGTAATACTTATGTAAAATGCGACGCTAGCTTCATGACAAGCAGAACCCCAGAGCCTTCTCCATCCAGCTCTCAGCCTTCTGAGTCTAGGAGGAAGAGTCTGCTCAAGGTAAGCGGTGTTCTCTTCTGTCCCTTGGCGTTCCAACTCTATTATCTGTTAGTCATGTCAATTCTTTTCGTTTGGTGCCACAGTGAACTGTTTAGTTGACTTATGCGAGTCCAGTAGAGATCACAATAGTCAGTGTTCTCTAAGAAGAGAACATTTGTTCGCATGTTTATGTGTCTGAGCTGAAGCAGCTGGGCAGCTGTGTGCCAGTCCAGGGCCTGGGGGAACTGGTTAACAGCTGGAGGTACTCGGAGTCACATACAGGGAATGGCCCTTTGCTGCTGCAGCAGGATATGGTAGGGCCATTTGGCTGAAGCGTGTGAGATCTGTTTGGGGCTGGATGCCCTGCCCAATGCCGAAGTTTTTAATTAATGATTTGGGAATTTCATACAATGCACGTGGATATCAAAGTCACTTCCCATTCCTCCCAAGTGCACCTTCCCACCCTTCTGTCTTCCCCCATAAATAAATAAAATAACAGACATTAGGTCCAATTTGTGTTGCCCATATATTCAATGGAGCATGCTCAAACTCCCAGTGGCCAGCCCCTTAAAGAAAAATGAGTTCTTCCCCACCACACACACAGAGAGAAGTTATCGACTGTGAAGAGCTACATTTCAGCATCCCTTTAACAATTTTTCAGAACTCTCTTCGATTGCTTCCTGTCTAAACTGTTTCTCTTTTTTTGGGGGGGGGGGGGCGGGGAACATCACAAAAGACTTCGATGTAGCAGAAACCAGAGGTCTCAAGCCAGGACAATGACTCAGGACAACGAACACTTCTAAGTAAACATGAATGAACTAGAAGGTAAACTGTGCTTCAGCAGGGCCACACTACAGCTTCCACAACAAGATTCTTCCTCCTCTTTCTTCTTTTCTTTTTTATTTGTTGTTGTTTCTTTGGTTTTTCTTTTAAATTTGGTTTTGATTTTGGAAGGGGAAGGTTGCAATGGCAGAGGGCAGATGTGAAGAGCCGGGGAGATAAGTGGGGTCAGCATGCACGATATAAAATCCATAAAGAATCAAAAGTTAAAGATTGTCAAGGAAATCTTCACACCAAAAATTTATAGATGTTACATATCACTTCCTTATTATAACCACAAAGTATTTACTGTGCTAAGGGTCAGACCCTGGACATTAATAAGACAGCAGCTTCTATCCAAAGATTTAAGTGATAACAATTTAATTTGGGTAATACAATATAGAGTATAGCATCCCACATACTCTGTAATTAAATAGCTAACTATAATTAGTCAGCTGTTTTTAAAAAAATTGTTCTTATTTTAAATAAATTAGTTATAACTAAAGAATTTTATGTTTTTGAACTTTTTAAAGACAGGTGTCATGTATCCCAGGCTGGCCTGGAACTTGTTATACAGCTGGGGATGGCCTTAACTTCTGACCCGCCTCCCTCCACCTCCCCAGTGGTGACACCGTTTTTTGTGTGGTGCAGGGAATGGAACCCAGGGCTTCATGCAGGCCAGCCGAGCATGCTCCCAAATGAGTCACAGCCTCTGACCCCAAAGAGTTGCATATTATTTTTCTTGTTCCAACTCTTGAAAATCATAGATCAGAGAAAGATAAGTTTGAAAATGGCCTGAACCACCCTGAACCCCTCAGATCTCATCTGAAAACAGGTTTCAACCTATCTCCATCCTTCTTCTCAATGACTTTCCTGCAATCTCGTGTTAATAACTGATTAGTTGTAATCTAGAACACATGACTTTTAACCCTTCACCAACCTAACTCTCATATGACAAACCATTTCCCCCCTTTCCACACTCAGAAGTCCATGCAGACCTTGACAGCGTACAGCGTGTATTCTTTCTCTCTGCTATCCAAAGTGCAGTGGAATTTTTATTTTAATGAAAAACCTGCTGAAGTGAAAAAGCTCAGCAAAGTTTCATAAGGCATAGAATATTGCTAATATTCATCAGCTAATCTGTGTAATATATAGAGCTGGATAATGAAGAATTTTGTGTTAATAAGACAACATTCTCTTGTAAAATAATGCCTAATACCTTTAATCCCAGCACTTGGTAGGCAGAGGCAGGCGGATCTCTGTGAGTTTGAGACCAGCCTCGTCTACAGAGCTAGTGCCAGGACAGGCTCCAAAGCCACAGAGAAACCCTGTCTCGAAAAACAAAAACAAAAAAAATAATAATAATGCTTAATAGATCAAAACTTACAGTACTTTTTACCCAATTAATCTAAACAACATAACACATATAGTCTGTATGATTTAAGCTTGAAATACACAGGCATTTTATTAATATTTGTTTTTCATAAGTAATATTCAAGTTAGGTCTAGGTTCTAAAATTTTATTTAAATATGTCTATATTTAAATACACATTTATTTTTGTTTGTTTTGAACCTGGGTTCTGTTCCCAGCACCCACACCAGCGTAACAGTCGCAACTATGTGGAACTCCAACACCCTCTTCTGCCCTCCATACACATGTCAAAATAAATAAATCTAAATATTTTAAGGAATGGTTGTGAGTTTTTATTAATGATCTTGTTGTTGCTCCCCAGTCTTACTGGCTTCACCACATAGTGTCTATGCCCTGGTAATGTCAGGAAACAAAGCATGTTCTCTGTGAGAAACTCTTATTGCTACCATCGTCATCATCATTTGTGTGTGTGTGTGTGTGTGTGTGTGTGTGTGTGTGTGTGCATTTGGCGTTGTCTCTGTAATGACAGTTTGCATACACATGTGCTCTTGTGCATGAGGACACCAGACATCAACACTGGGGATCTTCCTCAACCACTTTATTTTATTTTACTCTCCACTTTATTTTCTGAGACAGGGTTCCTTACTGAACCTAGAGCTCCTGATTCTGCTAGGCTGGCTAGCCAATGGGCCTCAGGGGTCAACTTATTGTTGCCTCCCCTCCCCTTTATTTTATTTTTATTGGAAATACTTCTTTTTCATAAAATATATGCCCCCTCATCTCCCAGATCTCCTCCACCTCTCTACCATTCCAAACCCACAACTTCTTCCTCTTTCTTTAGAAAACAAGTAAAATAATAATAATGATGATATAAAAATATAAAAAAAAAAAACAAAAAGAAGGGCTAGAGAGATGGCTCAGAGGTTAAGGGCGCTGGCTGTTCTTTCAGCAGTTCTGAGTTCAATTCCCAGGAGGTGTATAGTGGCTCACAACCATCTATAGTGGGATCTGATGCCTTCTTCTGTCATGCAGCTTGTGATAGTATGAAAGAAAACAGCCCCTACAGGGAGTGGCACTATTAGGAAATGTGGCTTTGCTGAAGTAGGTATGGCCTTGTAGAGGAAATATGTCACTGTGGATGTAAGCTTTGAGGTCTCCTATGCTCAAATTACTCCCAGTGCAGGACTCAGTTCACTTCCTATTGCCTATGAATCAAGATGTAGAACTCTCAGCTCCTTCTCCAGCACCATGTCTACCTGCATGCCACCATGTCCTACCATGATGATAATGAGTTAAACCTCTGAAACTGTAAGACACCCCAATTAAATGTTTTCCTTTTATAAGAGTTGCCATGGTCATAGTGTCTCTTCACAGCAATAGAAACCCTAACTAAATAAAACATAGCCATACATTCAAATAGAGCACTCATATACAAAAATTTTTTTAAAAAATTTTTTAATTCACAAAGAAAAACGTAAGAAACACACACAGTAAAAAAATTAATACACACAAATTAGTCACAATATAAATATACAAGACTAGAAGGTCAAAAAGAAATTTCCAAAGCAATATGAGACAGACAAAAAAAAAAAAAAAACCTACAAAAATACCGGTCAGCTCATTTCGTGTTGCCCATCCACTAAGGACATGAAGCCTACCCTTAAATGTGGTTTATAAACCCAGTGAGACTCAACTGGAGAAAAGTCATTTTTCCTTCACAAGCAGCTGTCAATTGGAGATAGCACCTTGGTTAGGGATGGGGGCTGTTTCCACTTCACCCCCTCTGACTTAGACCTGTGCAGGCCCTGTGCATGCTGTCACAGTCTCTGAGTTCATGTGTGTCTGTCCTGCTGTGTATAGGAGACACTGTTTTCTTGGTGTCCTACATCCCCTCTGGCTCTTACAATCTTACTACCTCCTCTTCTGCATAGCTCCCTGAGCCCTGAAGGGAGGAGTTTGATGAAGACCTCCCATTTAGGAAGGAGTATTCTAAGGCCCCTCACTCTCTGTACATTGTTCATTTATGGGCTTCAGGAATAGTTCCCATCTAATGCAGAAGGAAGCTTGTCTGCTGACGGCTGAGTGAGGCTCTGATCTATGGGCGTAGCAGAATGTTATTAGGAGTCATTTTTTTGCAAAGTTTCTCTAGCAGAACAACAGTATTTGGTTTTCCCAGGAGTCTCAGGTTCTTGGCCACCCAAGCAGTGTCGGCTTGGGTTCTGTCCTAGCTAGTTTTATGACAAACTGACACAATCTAGTCAACTAAAAGGAGGGAACCTCAGTTAAGAAAAATGCCTCCATAAGAGCCATCTGTAAGGGAATTTTCTTAATTAGTGATTGATGAGGGAAGGCCCTGCAAATTGTGGGTGGTACTATCTCTGGGCTGGTGCTCCTGGAATCTATAAGCAATAGGAGCAAGTCATGATGAGCAAGCCAGTAAGCTGTACCCCTCCATGGCCTCTGCGTTATCTCCTGTTCCCCAGGTAGATTCCTGCCCTGCTTGAGTTTCTGTCCTAAGTTGCTCCAATGATGAACAGCAATGTGGAAGTATGAGCCTAATAAACCATTTCCTGCCCAATTTGCTTTCAGTCATGGTGTTTCATCACAGCAATAACTAGGACAGGTTCCATCTCATAGAGCAGAACTTAAATCTAATCCGATGGTAGTGGGTTACTCCCATAACATTTATGCCACTATTGCACCAGCTTATCTTGCAGGCCCATCACCATTGCAGATCAAACGGTTTGTGACTGGGTTAGTGTTTACTTTTCTCCTCTAGTAGCATGCAGAGTACCTTCCAATGCCATGAACACTAGACAGTAGAGGTAAATGTGCTAGTTAGGCAGCAGCTTCTCCATGATTCTCATTCTTCAATGAGATATGTAGGTATTGTCTTCAGCAATAAGGCCTTACCATCAGTTTGTAGAGAGTAACCAATAGTTCTGGGAATAGCCTGAGTTGTTTGGAAGTTTCCATGAGACCCCTCTGATCAACAACTCAGTTATCTGTAACCCATTCCTGGCACTAGAGGTTTCACTTGGTGGCAAGAGATGTGTGGTTGGGGCTTTATCTACCCCATTATTTAATGAATCCATTTCTATTTCTTTCATATATGTATATACTTTAAGAAGTTTGTAGTTTAGTAGGTCTTGAGGGGTCATAAAAGATATATTTTAAGTGATACGTCATTCCCACAATATCACTTGTTTGAATTTAACGTTATAAAATCTGATGTTTCAGAAGCAGCAGCAAATGGTAAAAGACATAACTGCAGAGGTAGATAAAGGTATGTTGTAAATGTGTATGTGCTCAATTTAGAGTAAATTTACAAAACAAATTTAAGAAGCAAATGGAATCCTGCCCCTTGGTCTGTAAATTCTACACTAAAAGCATGCAAAAGCGGGCATCCCGAGTGAGTACTGTTCACCCTGCATCTGTGGCTCCATGGCTTTTCAAAACCTTTTTTATTCTTCCTCAACAATTCATTAACGTCTGTACTCAACCTCCCCCAAAACTACAACCATCTATTGATACTTGTCAATCAATCACACTTCCTGAGTAGTCCTTAACAAGTATCATTTGAAATCCCATTACTTACTTCTCATCGGCTTACCTTTAGCCTAGAAGAGGAAATACCAGTTTCCTTATGCAGACTGGAAATACACAACTCAGAATGACTGTTGTCAAGTTATCCTGTCCTCTCTCTCACCACTCACCTACTCTGGCCAACTGGTCCTGCTTTTAGTGTCCATGGACTAGTCATGCTCTTCCTCACCTCTGCCTGCATGGCTTTCTCCATAATTCCCCCAACATCAGCTTATGGACACCTCCACCAGACGCTCCGATATCAACACAACACTGACATGGAAGTCCTCTGAGTGCTCCAGTGCTTCCTGAACTTTACCTGTCAAAAAATCTACAGCTCTGTATGAAACTGCTGGCGTAGGGATATAATACAACGAAATGATCACTGAGAGCTGGAACATATCTTCTCTCACCGTCCCGGGCTCATCACAGTAGCTCAGTACATGAGTGAGAAGGGGAGTGCATGCTGACACTCAGCCCTGAGGATAACTAACTCAGTGAATATATGAGCGATTCTATTGTAGTTTTGAATTGTAGTGATAGATACATATTTGTCATTTTTAATCTATTCTGATAAGGTTCTTGGTCTTTTTTTTTCTTTTTTTACTGACTCCTGCTGTTAACTGTGAAGTCTCTGAAGTAAAGATTGTAATTCTTACTTTTTCTTTCTAGCTGCAGCTGAACTTGAGTGTTGGTCCTTAGAAGCTTATCCTTCAGGATCTAAACAAGATCTACTTTAGGAAGATAACAAAAATATATACAGATTAAAAATAAATATGGTTTTCTGAAAGACATTTGAGTGACCTGTTCATATAACATTTTAGTAGTTTCCCATTAAAGATATTATGTGATAACTTTATTGAAAAAACATGTTTTGTGTATTTAGGGGCTGGAGTGATTCCTCCCGCAGTGGTTAAGAGCACTTGCTGTTCTTGCAGAGCCTATAATTCAGGTTCTTAGAGAAACTAAATAAGGAGAACCCAAAGAAAAACATATAGGCATCCTCCTGAATATTAACCTTCATCAGGCGATGAAAGGAGACAGAGACAGAGACCCACATTGGAGCACCGGACTGAAATCTCAAGGTCCAAATCAGGAGCAGAAGGAGAGAGAGCACGAGCAAGGAACTCAGGACCGCGAGGGGTGCACCCACACACTGAGACAATGGGGATGTTCTATCGGGAACTCACCAAGGCCAGCTGGCCTGGGTCTGAAAAAGCCTGGGTTAAAACCGGTCTCGCTGAACATAGCGGACAATGAGGACTACTGAGACCCCAAGAACAATGGCAATGGGTTTTTGATCCTACTGCACCTATTGGTTTTGTGGGAGCCTAGGCAGTTTGGATGCTCACCTTACTAGACCTGGATGGAGGTGGGTGGTCCTTGGACTTCCCACAGGGCAGGGAACCCTGATTGCTCTTTGGGCTGACGAGGGAGGGGGACTTGATTGGGGGAGGGGGAGGGAAAGGGGAGGCGGCGGTGGGGAAGAGACAGAAATCTTTAATTAATTAATAAAGAAATAAATAAAAAAAAAGAATTCAATTCCCAGTACCCACAAGTCAGGTGGCTCACAACTACCTGTAACTCCAGCTCAAGAGATCTAACACCCTCTTCTAGCCTCCCAGCATAGCTGCATATAAGTGCATCCATGTACACACACACACACACACAATTTTAATCCTATTTTAAGGTGTTTCTTGGCATAAACTAATTTTTAGTGTATTTTACAAGTGAAAATATGTATTACATACCCCAAATGCCCAATTTCCAGCTACTTAAACAGAATCCAAACAGCCAGGTTGTCATTTATCATTTACTAGAATTAAAAATCACTTTGACGGTGGCTTACTTTCCTTTCTCAGTATCTACCAGCATGCACACACCTGCAGATGTGGGCATCACTCCACCCAGTCAGTGCTTTGATGTGTTACAGTCATCACACCTCCATCAAACTCAGAGGATTTTCAAGTTTTATGCTTTTAACTTCAAACACTGATTTATAGCCCTTTCCTCAAATGAAAACAACTTTTGCTGAAGGAATTTCGTATATCCTGCTTCACTCTTTTGAAAATGTCTTGAGATTCGGTCATTCACATACTATCACAGTTTACCCTGAGCAGGTAAGAAGCAAGGCCCTGTTCAGTGGACTCACAAGCAACACCTGGGTAGTTTGCCCTGGGCGGGTAGGAAGAATCTAAGGGTCTGCCCCATGCCTCAGGGCACCGGTGGTCGGGTGCCATTACAGTGAGCAAATATATGGAGGGGTACAGGAGGGAGAGAGAGGAACAGGGGTTCATGTCCTGCGGAGAGGTGAATCTGACGAGGATCAGGCTGGTGTAGGATGCCTGGTTACTGTCTGGGGTCATGGTAACATCCAGTCCTGGGCTGCTGCTAAGGCCATGTCTAGGTCCATGGCCCCGCCACAGCCAGGGTCTGTGTTGAGGTCTGTGGCTCAGGCTACCACCATAGGCTGTGCAGATGCATGGGGTCTGGGCTGACACCTGATGACATGTCTGTGCCCAAGGATCTGCTGCCATGCAGGAAAGGGTAACCTGCACTGCCACTAGGGCCATACTGACATCCAGGGTGAGCTGTGGCCAGGGGCCATATCTGGGTCCATGGTCCTACCACAGCCAGAGTCTATGCTGCCATCAGGGGCCATGTGACTGGCCGTGTGAATGTTTGGGGTCTCTACCACCACCCGGGACCATGTTGGAGCCTGGGGACCATGGTGCTGCTGGGCCCATGCCAATTGAGAGCCCATGTTGCCACCAGGGGCCATGGTGACATCCAGGCCCAAGATGTTGCTGATGGCCAAGTCTGGGTCCATGGTCCTGCTATAGCTGGAATCTGTTTTGACATGTTTCTGTTGTCCATGTTACCAAAGTGGCCTGTGCAAACCATGTGTTGAACCATGAGTTGAAATACAAGGGCCTCACTGAGCTGGTTCAGCTCTTCATGGGCCCAGGGAGAGCTCCCCCGCCCCAAGCCCACAGGAGAGCAGACCCTGTCCACACTTGGGAAAGATGGCCCCGCCCCTTACCTTGGGTGTGGGAGAGCTGGTCCTGCCCCTTACCTGAGGGGGGTGGTCCCAGTGGCCCAGACTGACCAACTCAGCAGCCCCCCCCAGGTGTACACCCAGGGTTTTGAGCTGGCACACTCCAACACCCACTCCATCTATGAGGTGCTGGAGTAAGTGAAGGGACTGGCCCTGCAGAGCCATGGCTGCATGGTCTACATGACTTTGGTCAAACAGTTGTCACGGAACAATTCAGTTACCAGCGAAAGAGACATGTTTGCCTGTTATCTTGTCCTGCCCCACACTACCAGCCTTTCTGAAGCTTTAATGTGCATGTAAATTACCTCTGACTCTTGTAAAAATAGATTCGGGTCCGATCTGGAAACCGGAGATTATGTATTTCTAACAAACTCCCATAGTTACTGACACCTGGTACTGCTCGTATCCCAATCACACAAGTAACGTGGTAGGAGACTATTCATACATACACACACATACACACACACACACGCACACACACACACACAATACTGTTACAAACTCCCATATTTACTGACGCCTGTTACTGCTCATATCCCAATCACGCAAGTAGCATGGTAGGAGACTATTCATACACACATACCTGGAACTATTTCTTTTCTAATCACGCAAGCAGACTATGCACTCATACACACACACTCACTCGCGCGCGCGCGCGCGCACACACACACACACACACACACACACACACACACACAGCTGGTTCTGTTCCTTTCCCGATCACACAAGTAGAGTTGTAGGAGACTATTCACACACACGGTACCGTCCCTTTCCCAATCATGCAAGTAGCATAGTATGAGTCTCTGTCTCTCTCCCTCCTTTCCTCCTTTTCTTTCTATCACGGGATTTCTTTTTCTGCATGGGTACCCAGCCTGGGACGCAAATTCCACGAGCTGGAGCACTCGCTGGCGACGACCGAGTTCACAGGTCACCGAGGACAACAGTGAGGGTGGCGAGGGTGGACCTCCAGGGAACAGGAGGTACTGCCGAGTTCACGGGCAGGCCCGGTCTCACGGTCAGGTCAGGAACGAGAGTCCAGAGCGGCTCTGGTGACCGTGATGGTTGCAGACGTAGTTGGGCTGCCTTGTCGCACGAAAAGGAACACAGAAAGCGTCGCTCCCCGCAGCGCGCAGGCCTAGGAGCCCGGTAGCCTATCACCGGCAGGAGCTGGACCCGTCCCGCCTCCGGGAGCAGTGGAGCACCGTGTGCGTAGAGAGTCGCCCGGCCAAGGGGGCGTGGGCAAGCTCGCAGGGCACGCCGGGAAACTCGGTCCTCCGACACCATCTTTCTTCGCTCCGGGCGGCGGTGACCGTGGGAAAGGGCACACGCTAGAGCCATGAAGTTCCTCAGCCGGGCCGGGTCCTTTTCGGTGAGCACGAAGACGCGCGTGGGGCAGGGCGGGGGAGGCTTGTCGGCCACTCGGGGGCTGGGGGCGAGGTGTGCGGCCCTGGCCTCGGGCCTGAGTCTGCCCTTCAGGGGAACCCGGCGGAGAAGCGGGCTGTCTGCGGGCTGGGGCCCAGGGGAAGGAAGCTCAGCGGGTCCTGTGATCTGGGAAGAGCTAACGCGGGAAAGCCGCAGAGAAGGGTGGCCTTAAGAGTGGCCCCGAAGCGGCACTCGGGAGACTCCTGAAGGTCACTCGAGAAGCAGGTAGGGCAGAGGCCGACGACACCCAGCCCTCTGCTTTCCCAGCTGCGGCCTCTGCTCCCGAGTTGGTCCTGGAGCATCAGCTTTCCCCATGCAAGTGTTAGAAACACCGATGCGTCCTTCCCGACGGTGCTGAGTCCCGGCATTCGTAACTCGCTATATTCTCGGTCTCTTGTCTAAAGACTTTTCTCCAGAAGGGGCTCTTGATCGTTCCTCAAGGCTCCTTCCTAACCCGAAATTATGTAGTTGTCTTTCGGAGAGGGGGCACTAAGTACCTCCTGTGTCAGGACGTTATCACTGAAACAGCGGCTATTGAGAGATGAAAACGGGGGCATTTAAATTTCAGCAAGGGCTAACTTGCCTCTGCTTAGCCGGTTACATGTGGAGCTTGTTGGTCTAACACTCCTTTGGGAGGGTGCTCCTGGCATCTAGAGGTCAGAGGTGTTGCTAAACATCTAACTGTACACCAGCAGCCCGTACAGCATACAATTACCAATGCCAAAATGCCAGTAATGTCTGTGTTGAGAGACCTAGACAGGGATGCAGAAGTCCACACCGGAAATGGTGTTTCCTTGCTCTTTGTACTTACATAAATGTATTGTAGAATTGTACACATTTAGGCTATAGTTGTGTTCTTTGTGCCTAGACCAAACAATTGCTAACAGTCCTTTAAGGGCAGGACTGTCTTTCTTATTTTCCGTGGGGATAAATTGACCTGTGTTATTTAAACAAAATAGAATTACATGACAATTGGGAGGATAAGCCTTTCCTGAAAGGAACCCCCCAAAAAGTGCAGAATTTTAAAATGTCACTATCCGGAAGCACCTACATCTTCCTTGGTAATGGAACTGTGGATTATCCATATGTCGGCTGCTATACTTGGATATTGTGGAATAATGTCTTGGGAAATCACAGCCGAAAACCATACATACACCTTATCCAGAAAACTGTATTGATAATGACAAAGAGCTCATGTTGATTCATAATTAAAATGCAGGGCTGAAGGGAAAGTAGTAATACTGGGAGCAAATGAAGACC